TGGAGAAGGGGCAAGGGTGAAGAGGCAGAGATGGGTAAAGGCTGCGTCGATGACGCGACAAGACTCAGGTTCATCGTAACGGAGCGCCTCAAGCAAGTGAGCCCGGATGCGAAGTAATGCAAACACAGGTGTGCACACGCGGCATCACACGGCCGCAACTTGGGGCAGGGGGGTGAGTTCTGGCGGGACCAAACGAACGTAGCAGTATGTAGCAGTGCACGCGAGGAAACGCGCAGCACAACAGCAGTAGCCACGAGACTTGCAAGTCATGGATGCCAGGGAGCACCGGGAAGAGATGGGAGATAGGGCGGACGCACACCCCCTACACGGGTGAACATAGATGTCGTCCATCAGTGTCGTCCACAAAGGCCTGCACACGCTCGCTGGGGAGGAGCTCATTTTGGAAGTTGCGGAGCGCAGGCGCCCGTTCCAGGGCGGGCAAGCACCATGAGGCAGGGTCTCGATTGCGAGCGGCGTGTGCGAGTCTTACGGGTTTCTTGCTTCCGGCGTGTTGCAACAGCCCGGGCCACTCCATGTTCTTGCCTCAGTTGCCCTTGTTCCGGCATTGTGGTGGACACGGGACCCCACCAATTGGCGGGTGGGAAATTGGCCGAAGGCATGGTGGGCCCCGCCAATAATGCCCTAGCATGCCCTGCCCACCCAGGCCCGGCAGGAGCAGGATGTTCTTGGGCAGGCGACCGCCCTCGAAGTCTGGCGGGAGGGATCTGACGACGATGCCCACCGAGACGGGGTGTCGCGGCATCACCGTGAGGTGGGCATTGGATGCCCTTGCTGATGGCGGCATCGAGCTCCTGCGCCGCCGACCACGTGTGCGACGTCAAGCCCTTGAAGGAGATGGTCACCGTCGTGTGGCGAAGATCCGCCCCAGGCTGGTTCAGGGGCCACCTCGAAACATCCCAGCAGGGTGCCATCGTTCACAGGCGGGGCATCGCGACAGCAACTGGTTGGAGGCGTCCCCCACAATTTTAACGCAAAACAAGCACCTCAGTTTGCACCCAACATGGGCGAAAGCATGAAGCGAGATGAAGCAAGTTGCGAGCGTCTCGTGCAAGGGCGTCGTATGCGTCGTTGATACCGTGGCAGGAACGCCCGCAGGACCAGGTAGGCACACTGTCGGCACTTTGCAGCATTGGGCATTGCAGCCGCCTATAATGGGGTGAACATCGAGGCCATGAAGGTGACCTGACGAAGCGGCACCAAGTTGAGTTCAGCTACCGACTCCTACTTACTGGTTAATCGGTTAATCCATCGGAAAGTTTTACACGGCAAGCACGTCTCCATCAAGCCATGCTGCCGCTTCCGAAATCACAGCTTCAGAAGCTGCTCTCTGCGCAACGCCGGATGTTCAAAGCCATTCTTGGATGGCGATGGCCGCGTCTCGAAGACGAGACAGAGCATTTCACCGAGAGTCGCATGAAAAACCGCGTTGCTGGCCTACCCCAAAGGACCCATGGACAGTTGCAGTAGCAAAGCGCCAGCACAGCTCTCCGTTGCAGATTTCGGCATCCTGCAGTAAGGGCACCCAGTGTGATCGGATGGCCACCAAACTGAAAATGAGAGTTCCCTTTGTCTTTTCCTTCGCATCTTTTAGGTCTTTTTTGCAGGCTCCATGGGACCCTAATACAACGTGGCGTCGCCCGACCGGGCCAGGCGGCCAGGGCAGCTTGCGGCTGGCGAGAGAGGGCAAGGCGGATGGATGGCCCGGCACGGAGATCACGACTGAGAGTTTCAGAAAAGTCGTGCCCACAAATGTCGACAACAAATTGGGCCCTCCCAGAAAGGCAAACCGCTGCAGGGACAACATGCAGCATCGGCCTCAGACTTGCCCAGCATCACGTCCCCAACCAGGTCCCCAAATTCTTCGTCCTCATGCTCGGGACCTTTTGTCACGACTGATCAAACCCCTCGCCTTGCATTGGGGATTTGCCGCATCCCGGTGTTTTCCCTTGCGACGAGTCGCTTAGTCACTTAGTCTTCCCAACAACTGATGCTGCGAACCAACTGCGACCAGATGTAAGAGCCGCTGCATCATCGCAATGTCACATGCCACGAGAGCTTCGATGAGATATGAACTTTGGACCTAGACCGACTTCAAAGTGTGCTCGACGAGCGAGCCTGCCATAGCCTGCCAACCTCTGCCACCGGTCGATCCAAGCATCGCGCAATACTGCACATCGAGCATTCTGGAGTGCTCGCCGGGGCCCACTGCACGATCGTGATGGGAAAACAACAGAAAGTGGTAGCAACGAATCGGTAACGTGAAGGATGACGTAGGACGTTTCTCTTCAAAATCGTAGATGTACTGCCGTACATTCGACCTCCCACCCTGCTGTGCGGGAGACATCCTGCGTCCTCTCTGCCCGGTTGCCGAAGCGGGAACTTCCCACCACTTCGCAGTGCAGGTCAAGGTACTCAAGTTTTGACTCAAGTGATGCTTTCCCTGTGAACAGCAAAACCCGGCTTGGCATGGCTTGGCTGCCTGCAGCTTCCCGTTTCACCTGCTCTGCAAGGTGTGATCGAGCCACAGCAACATGTCGTTAGTGCGCTGCCTCGCGAAATGCGCGGCTCGAGGATTCCCGCGCACTCATGCAGCCAGACCTCAGAGAACATTTCCCTTCTCCGTGCGCAAAGAGTCAGCAGGTGTGCTACATGCCAGCGTTTTTTTCCGTAGGGGCTCCGGCGGGCGCACTGAAGTCTCTGTAATGTGGCTGTAATTGCTCTCAGACCTGGACGAGGATATTATGCCGCTGTCTCTGCATTATGCTCGAGCAGCAATCTGCTTTGTCGGGTGCCTGGTAACCTGGAAGCGTGGCACAACAGTAACCACCCCGAAGGAATAGAAGAGTACATCTGTGAAAACTCGGGAACTTTGCTAGCGCATGTCATTCAGTCTTTGGTACCATCGAGAAGAGAAGCATCGAGCACAAGGCCACCGAAGTCTGGGTGCTGTTGAATGGATGAAACTTGTAAGCAAAAGCTCGTCAACGTCTGGAGGGCACCATCGTCACTCCTTGCTGTCAACGGCTGTCACACTCCAAGTTTGTAGATCTGCTTCAGCCCGAACAATTTGGAAAGCTTTTGTGGCATGCTGCAGACATGGTGCGCCGACTAAGTGTTCAAGTTGGGATGTGTTTTTGGCAAGTTCGGCAAGCAAGCTGCCGCACGACTTTCTGCCGATGGCGCAGTCTGGCTTGATGTGTCGATAAAAACTATCATCATCTTTCTTTGCTATTGATCCATGTTCGGTCGTGCCAGAGAGCATCAGAACCGTCCGCGGCTTAGCAGTGCGGAGAAGAGAGCATTCTCGCCAAACAGTTTGGTGCATCAACCTAGGAGCAACAGTTGATTGTCTAAGTCGAGGGCAACGACATTTTTAGAGGCATCATAGAGCTGTGAACATGTCCGTTTGGATGTGGCATTTCGAGCCTGTTCAAGAGGGGATGTGGGCATCGAGCATGATGAAACAAGAGAACTGCACCAAACCAGCACCAATGCCCCTGTCCCTGCCCCTGCAAGGCCTTCCGGTAGTTTCAGGGTGCTAGATGGGCCCCGTCTTGCGTGAAGATTCCCATTGTGTTCTTCTGGACTGCAAGGACTTGGGAAGTGTTGAGAAGTTAGATGTGATGGATTGTAATTGTTTCCGCTCTATCAAGCTCTGTGTCGTGATGGTGCCGCAAACCGTTTGGAAACGGGTTTAAGCAAGTTGGCGGAAGCGGAGGAGCCTCGAGCTTTTTGAGCTTTAGGGAGTCCAGACTCTAGATCTTGCGAGCCGTGCTGCTCCAGGTCCAGTAGGGAGAGATTTCTGTTGCTGAGTTCTAAAGGCGTCGCACTTGCGAAGAGTGAGCTGGTGACACCAGTAAGGACCAGTCGACAAGTCAAGATGAGAACTGACTGGGATTCAAACGAAGCGGAATGTGAATCCTTTGAGCAATGACGTTGGACAATAAGGAAAACACTTCAGTCACTTGAGTCACTTGTACTTCAGGCCTGCCTGCTACTTCCGGCAAGCCGCGTCTCTACCTGAGACAAGCACAATTACAGGCGTCACCCAGAATGGCAAGTTCTTGCATGGAATGTGACGTGCATGAACGAAATCGCAGGCAGACCCACACCCACATTCGCACTCTGTCACACGCACACAGACACACAATCAGTCACTCACGTGTGCAAACACAAAAGGAGACGCACTAGGCATTCTGCAACACAAGCAGGCAGGATCAGGCAAGCCCCTTCGATCAAGCAGGACTCCAACACATGCAACACAACGCGCAGAACGGCAAGGCCCCGCCCTGCGTTGAAGGCGGCCGAAGTTGGATTCTGAAGCACGCCCGCTTGCCAAGAAGAGCTGGATCTCTTCCTTCGCATCAAGCACTGCTGGACTGAATCTACACGTCGTGGTCTACCCGTCTCGCAATCCTCGACCGCTGCTGGTCGTGGACCGGGCAACCCTTGGAAACAATGAGAATGGCAGGAACTTGCGGTGGTTTCGTGCTCATCATCACAGGGACCCACCTAGGAGTCTGTCAAAGTCTTCAAGAAGAATGCCCCGCAATTCCTGGTAGGCCGTTGCACTGCAAACTTGCATGGAACTTTGCACCGAAGATGAAGCATTTGATCATCGCACGTGCGCCAATCCTGCTTCTTGGGCTCTGTGATACTGCCTCGCAAAGGTTGGCCGCGTGGAGTCAGAAGCTTTAGCAAACTTTGATCTTGAACACTTGCGCAGACCTGCTCCGTTCTGCAGCAGCCATGCCGAGGCCAGTTGGCATGCCATTTGGCAGCACCGACGAGCAAGCCGATTGGTTGCTCAGTGTCGCGAGTCGCTTGGAAACCGTCTTGGAAATTCTTGGACTGCCTGGCGTTTGAGATGCTGGAGCTGTTTGACTGGATGGAAATGAAATCAACTGGAAGTGGCATGTTCCGACCTTTGTGACGTGCCTCCGATCCTTGACCCAACTCCACGTTACGGATGTCTGCTTCAATCCATGCGCATCAAGTGCTTCCTTGTGATGCCTTGTGGCACTAGATCTGGGCCACCTATGACACCGCTTGCATGTTCGCCACAACCAACAAAAGGAATACTCTGCGATGCTAGTTGGTGTTTTGGTGCATGATTCGGCGATGTGATTCTCATCGATGGCTCACCTAAAGTACGGACGATAAAACACGCATGCGAGCAAATGCTGCGGACATCCTTGCAGGTGATCCGACCGCCTCATCTGCTTCAAGAGCCGAGTCACGACGTGTTGTCATGAACGGCAGGTCCAGCACAATCTTGCTTTTGTACAGGCACCACGCCGTGTTTCGTGGTCACCAATTCATGCCATTATCAACAGTGAAACTACACGTTCCTCTCTGCTGCGTGTATTCGATGCAGCACCTGCGGTCTCAGCAAGTCATGTACTTTGGCAAGTCTTCTGACCAGAGCTGTAGCTGATTGCAAGCATGTCCGGCCTGCCTCCCTCCCTCCCGCCATAACAGCAACAACAAGCATGCCTCGTCCTGTCGGTGAGAGACCTGCTTGATGAGATCATCAGCAATCTCCTCTGGCATGTAGATAACCTGCCGTCGGACTGTTATACTTCGACAAATCGATGTGGGGTAGTACACTCTCTTCTTAACCCCAATTGCTGCACTTTGCTGTCAGAGCCTGAACGCCAGCGCAAGCTAGCAATGCCTGCAGCTCTTGCGACAAAGGGATCTCTCGCTTCATGTCTGTCTCGGTTGCTCGCTCTCTCTTGCTTGCAGTCGGACAGAGGAGCACAGGCGCGCCCCCCCCCTCCACACCCGAAGGTGCGCCGGATCCACGGTCTGTGTGACACTTTCTGCCAACTGCAGAGCGGCCCGGCACTCAGTAACCACCCTAACCTTTTGCACTACAACCCCCTGCCGGCCTCTCGCTCTCTCTTTGCTTGGCTAGGGGCTTGGAGCGGGAGCAGTCCTTCCGCCCCGCGCGGGCGCGCTGTCCCATCCATCATTTGGAGTGGATGGGCTCTGACTTTACAAAAGGATTTGTGCTCCTGTTTTTCAGGAGGCAAGTGGTCGGGCCCCCTCTTCTTTTAGCAAGTGTGTGACATGCAACACAAGACTCTGGGTTCCCTGCGCCACTCGAAAGTCAGTGGGTGGGCTCCCGTTCAACTTTGTATCGAAGACAAAAGATGAAGCTGCAAACCAGGTACCATGGAAACAAGAAAGTTACTGTGTGCTGAATCGGGTGCCCCCATGAGTTGGTGCCCTGCCTTCGTCTAATCCGCCTGGTCACCCTGCCTCAAATCGAACAGAAGCCTGATTCCTGCGGCAGCACTACCTGTGACCTTCCACTCGACCCTTAAGCCTGTAAGAAAGCGGGTGCCCCTGTTTCTCTGTCTTTCGAAAAACACTGGTAAGAACGAAGTGCGTTGAGGGAAAGTTTGGGCCAACTGTCAGTTCTAGGCTAGGTTGGCAACTTGTTGGCTCGCTCCTTAGATTACGGTAGCCTTGGTTCTCTGTCTGTCTCTCTGTGCGTTTCTTGCTTGCTTGCTTGCCTTCCTGCCTGCCTGCCTTCCTGACTGCCTGCCTGCCTGCGTGGCGTGTGAGGATTCGGGGAAACATGACCCGTGCACCGCTGCGCATGAGCGCTGCGCCCAAGTCCGTGTCCAAATCTTGCTATTAGTTATAATTAGGTCCGATGCAAGCGGGGGGGCTGTACCACTGACTGTAAAGCTGATTTCAGGAGTTTGGTCTTTTTGCATCCCTTGCCCCCTCCTCGCTGCAAAAAACCCAAAATCCTGAAAGTATTTGATTCCGGAACAAATAGATGTAGAGTCTAGATGCCCGGCGGATACAAAGAGTGGTTGGGAGGCCGAAGGCCTGAGGGAGGCAAACCGACCCCTAAGCGCGGCAGAAAGAAGAAAGGGCAGAGAGGGAGAGAGAGATTTGTCACCTCTCACCAAACACGAACAGTGGCGTCGCGCTTCGCGCCGGGACGGAAAGGACGCTCTGTTCCCCCTGTTTGGAGTGCCACAGCCGCTCGTGCTCTTTCTTTCGCCAGGGCTGGGGTGGGGAGTTGCCCCCCAAACGGCGCACTCGTGCGCCCTCGACTGTTGCGGGCGCCCTGGACAGGCTGAGAGCGCTCCGAGGCCACCGGGTGCGCAAAAAAGGAAGTCGCATCCATCTGGCACCAGGACAACAGCCTCGAAGCGCAATCACGAATATGGGAACCATATAAGCAAAAACCCTTGAGCAGAATGTTGCTATGCCGAAGGTACTCTCTTGCTTGCGTGCTTGCAGGGCGTGTGGGGCATGGGGGCAGCCCCCATAACCCCTGCGCGCGAGCACTACGCCTGACTCTGCGTTCGGTGTGAAACTGGTCTCTCTCTCTCTCTCTCTTCTTTTTTTCTTTCTTTTTCTCTCTCTTTGTTTTCTTTCGCCAGGGCTATGGGGCAAGGGAGTTTCCCCTACCCCGCGGCTAGTGCGCCCCCGACCGTTGCGGGAGACTGTGGGTCTTCATGAATGCAAAACCAAGGCAACTCGCAACAGTAGAGGTTGCACTACATAAAGGACACGTACATACGGTAAAGTGAACACGGTATGTGACTGTCGCAGGGGTTATTCCCCATCGTGCCAACGGCAACTCACGCTGGGGGGATCCCCTTTGCGTGGTTGCTCATGGAGAAAAGGAAATAGCATACCGACAAACTATGGTTTAGCACTCGCCCCTAGGCGTGTTGGCATGCCGCACTATGAGGGCTTCAGGTGAGTTTCGGCCGAGTCGGTAAATCGTGCCAGCACCTATGGATTCCTATGGATCATCGCCCGGATGCCAAAACCCCCATGCCTGTCGTAAAGTGCTGCGTGCATGCGTCGTCTACGGTGACTGCCCCTACTCAGTTAGCGGGGCCTCTCATTTCTTTCTTTCTCCAGGCTTGAGGGCACGCCCCTCTCTCTCTCTCTCTCTCTCTCTCTCTCTCTCTCTCTCTCTCTCTCTCTCTCTCTCTCTCTCTCTCTCTCTCTCTCTCTGCCAGGTAAAGAGAAGGCAGCGGACGCCACCCTCCCCGCACGCGAACGCGCACCTGCAGTTCGCAGGATTGGGGTCCTCCTCCTTCTGACTTTGTCAAAATTGGGCTCTGCTGTACTGTTCTTCAGCAAGCCCTTTCTCGACTGAACAGCGTGTGCCCCCGAGTTCACCAAACCAAAGTAACCTTCAAGCAAAGTAACCTTCAAGCATCTCTCTCTCTCCCCCCCTTTTTTCCTCTGCTTATCTCTCTCATATTCCGCACAGGGTAGTTAAGCATGCAGGCCTCGAGAATCGCTGGCATCGATTCTAATGCTTGTGCATCCAGATAAACACAGCACCCGAAGCCGTCGGCAACCTGGAAGTTTGCTGGGGTGGTGTCAGTGCAAGACACTCAGGACAGGAAGTCTATAAGTCTATGACTTGCACAAGCCTGACATCCCACTCCCGGAGCCGTTCACATTTAAAGTATATCAAAACACGCCCCTAGCACGACGGCACAGTAGTTAGAAGTCTTGATGCGGCTGTTCGGCAATCGGTTTCGCTTTATGTGTGACCAGAGTGCAAACAGCTAAAGACCTGCGTATCACGGCCACAAGTTCTGGCAAGACGGCACCTCCTGCCATGTCGTCGCCTGCTCCGCGTATTGCCGCAGGGCCGAAGGCAGCGTCTCCAGAGCTGAGTGGTGGGTGGTGTGACACATGGGATCTAGGGCAGTCGAGCCTGAGCCAGGTGCCAGGCGCAGCTAAAGGCCAGCTCTTCCACAGGCTCCGGAACGTCCTTGACTCATGTCATGCTTCCGGTTCACATCAAGACCGCAAATAATTCAGGCTCCAGCCAGGCCATAGTCCTGAACCAGTTTAATCTCCGGCCTCATCCAGTCCAATGTGTGCAGATGATGCCATTGAACAGGCAAAGGGTGATGAGGTACCTCACCTGGCCTGCGTGCCCTCAGCAATTCGGCTCCAGCTTGAACATCAGCCTGTGAAGCTGAAAACGTGGTCGGCACATGTGCGACTACTGACTATTATATCTGACCTCACGGAAAGGATTCACGAAGGTCGTCAGCCAGCCGTCCTCACTTCGGTTCCAAAGCTCTTGCAGCTTCAATACGCACTCTAAGATTTTAAGACACTAAAGAAGCAGCTGTTCGAGCATTTTTGAAGGCTTGGAGGTGCGGGGCTGGGCACGCCTTTGTCAGGCTTGAAGCAGCTACACATGGCATACATTTGTGGAAGGACTTGGAGGAACGTAGCCGGCAGGTCTGAGACCTCGGATCGGTTTTTGCAACTTCGAGCTGAAGCACAGCATGCGCAAGGCTGAACTCCTCTGCAAGTTCTGCATAGAAGTCGACGAGCTCTTCAAGCGTTTTCTGCTTCCCCGTTTCAACCTCAATAGAGAGCTCCAAGCTACATTTTTCAGGGGCAGCCACAAACCTGAAAGGCATGGGCTTCGTAAACGCCCTCTTCTTCTCGCCAAGCCTGTCTGCAAGCATCGTTATCCGAAATTGTAACGCTGTTGTGACAGTGCAACTAACCTCTGCGCAAGACGGCCTCCTCCGCATTGACAATGAGCAAGCCATGCACCTTGCTTCTACTCTGGCACATGTCGTAAATCGCCGATTTGCCCACAGCCAATCTCTGGTCTTCTCTCGAACTGGCAATTGCATTCAGTCGCGCCTTGGATGAATCCGACGCAAGAGCTGACTCCAAAGCCTTCTGAGCAAGCTGTAGTGTGGGCACCTAGGCAAGCATGCTGACACTGGGAGAGAAGAATGGCCACGACGACCCGAGAAGCTGGCAAGGCCGCCAGGGAGGGCATAAGAGTTTCCATCAACCACTAGCGCTGCAGTCGCCTGGCAGGAGTGGCAACATACCATAAACATCTGGATGTCTGGAGACTTATCAGCAGCCGCACGGATCGCTGGTGTCCGGCCTTATCTGCCTGCAATGACTTTATGACTTCGGCTTTGGCACCTTTCAGCACCTCGGCCACAACTTGAAGGCTGGATCCATCGTGTGCATGTACATGATCCTCAAAGTGCAGCGCGTATGCGACCCGCAAACAGCTGTTCCCAGGCCATGCCCGAATCCCCAAGGCATCGAACAGCGCGGCCTCGAAGAGCCTTGCGAGCCAGCCGAAGGAGAGCTGGCCATCGGCCGCCTCGGCCTCCAAAAACGCTTCAAACATCAACTCGGGACGCAAGGACGACACGCGGCATGGTCTGAGAGTGCATCGAGTGCCATGGGCGACAAAGCCACACAGCAGCGCAAGGAAGTGGGTGTCAAAGCCTGGGTGCCAGAGCGGAAGAAGCCGGAATCAATTTCAGAAAGCGGGCGTCGAACAGTCCGTTGTTGTTGGCGTTGGTGGCTCGAGACGTAAATCCCTTGATGCCCAGTAATGGTCCAGGGCCCACGTTTCCCGGTTGCGCAAGGAGGGCCGGTGTGCAAATGCCCTTGTCAGTCGCGGGAAACTGCCTTGAATGAAGAAGAGGTGCAAGTAGCCTCCCCGCTTCAAGGGTGCATGGTAAATTCCAAAGGAGAAGAAATCTGAGGACTGTGCTTGACTGATACCGCGGTACGGAGGCCGACTGCCGAATGCCGTTTGAAAAAGATTGGAGTTTCTTAATTCAACTCGCCTCCCACCCAAATATCGTTCCTAGAGGGTGGCTACTGTTGCAATGCCTCCTGGACAGTGTCCCTGCTCTAACTCCCGCACAGTGACAAATCACAAAAATGCAAACGGAGAAAGAGAGAGGCAGCGAGCGACGGTGTATGAGAATAGAGAGCAAACGTCATATCTGAAAACTAACATGGCAAATTTCACTTTCAGTTTGGCATCAACTTCTGCACCGACATGCCCCTCCCTACTGATAACAAACCTTACCAGACAAATAAATGTGAAGTGCCGTGTTCAAATCAATCTGATACTGACATGGCCAAGCCGCACTTGGCCCTCCTCCTTGCAAAAGCGGAACGGCAAAGTGAGGCCATCTGCCTTGCCTGCAGATCTGCAGAGGCTTGGCTCGTTGTGCCGTCAGCTCACACCGAATCGCAAATCAAAATTTTGAAAATTCGCATTCACTTTGTGAAAACGACTTGGGGTTCGGCCAGTTGGAGAGGTCACTCGGCGACCGCAAAGGTGGTGACACGAAATCAGGCACCGACCTGTGCAGGACACTGCAGTCTGTAGCGACCACATACGTACTGGCTGCATGCATGACGGAAACCAGGTACATGGCTTTGAAAGAGCGTGTTGCAGAAAGTCCAGGCTTCCCAAATTCATCGCGGCAGCCTGCATCGTCAGCTTGTTCACGTCTGCCCGAGGCAGGGCAGCTGGCGGTACGAGTTGCGGGTGAAACACGACCGGGGACATGACTCCGGCATCCAAGAGCTGGTTCGTGAGCGCGAGCGACGCTGCGAGTTCAAGATGTTCCTCGGCAGTGCCTGCATCCAGTCTTGCACGACATATCCGAAGTACACAGAGCATGCAAAACACCATATGACTTGCAGGTAGGCATGCCTAAGCAATGCGCTGCCATCCCGATACATTTTTCATGCAGTGACCTTGGATGATAAACAGCGAGACATGTTGAGCATAAGCCGACAATGGTGGAAATTCTGTTGACCTTTGTCTGGTCTGACGGTCTGCCCCATCTTGTGGAGAGAGCAGAGCTGTCTGCAACAGGCAGACAGTCTTAGGGCACCCTGCAAGAAGTCATCGACATACACATCCTGGAACGATCTGGCGAAGTAGTCCTCTCCGGTCGGGAGTGCAAATGACGCCGCTTGTGAGGAACATTGGACATTTGGGAGGTCCTGCACCGCAGACACCAGCTTTTCCTCATCTCTGCCCTGCAGCTATGGAACATGTCGCAAATGTCGACAAAAATAGCCAGTTGAAGCTATAGAGCTCCTATTACAGAAGAAGACAATATCGGGGAAAAAGGAAAGCCAGGACAGCCCTTTAGAAACGTCGATGAGCCCGCATGCTGCCTGAACGCCGGCATCGCCGTGAGCCGGACACCTCGAGCGTTGCAGTCTTGGTCTTCCTTTCATCCTCTTGCATAATACAGTATCTGTTTCCCACATTCAGATAATTATTCATCCAAGGAGCAGGACGTGACCTAGGGACAGCTTTTGAATCCGAATGTTAACCTCAGTGCGACTCTGCTGAGCTTTGACATCTTGGAGGAGCCGAGGCTTTCGGTTCGTCGGGGCCGAGGCCCCGCGAGTGGCGACCACAACATAAAACTGAAGCAACTTCCTCCGGGGCGTCGCATTCCCCGGAGAAAACCGTCCATGTACAAGCTCATCAGGGCTGTGCCTTGGGACGGATGTGTCCGGTCTCAGCGCTACATAGCGCGGAGCGGAGATGCTGCTTTTGGACAGCTCCTGAAGTCGGCACCAGCAACCGTGTCTGCAAGAGCGTTCTGCCAGAAATGATCGAGAAATGTCCTCTGCGAGTCGAGCATACGGATCTTCTGGCATGTGCTGAATTACCTTACTTCCACAGAGAGCGCGGCATGTCATGCGAAGTGAAAGCGCAACAGCTTGTGCATGCCCTGAAGTTCTATGCTAGGAACTCAAAGTCAATCGGGCGGGTCATTTCCACGTTTCGAAGCGGCAAAGGTAAAGCAAAAGCAGTCAAAAAGAGCAGCCGCCTGTTGGGGGCGAGGAGAGTGTTTAATCGGAAAAAGGCATTCTCGTTGGTCCGCAGGCTCGTCAAGCAAAGCACATGAGGGATCATGAGGGAGGTGCATGTGGAGAGGGGTGTATGCAGTTCTGCGATGTTCAAGGAGAGATGTTAAAATGGATGAAGTTCACCAGTACAGGTACTGACGAAACACAGAGCAGATGCCGATCTTCAGGCGGAGGCCTTGTTTCGCGAATCGGAGTTTACATTTACGTCGTAGTGCCCCATTCGATACACGCATGAAAACTTGGTATTTCATCGGGTGGGCAACCTGGAATTTTCTCTCAAGACTGAGCCTATGCATCATGGTGCATCCAAGTCACACAATTCAGAGCCGATGTGACGACTTTTTCAAGCTTGTGCTCTGAGATGTACTCCCGCACCTTCAAACTCACGCTAACAGAGACGGCACTACGGCAAGATCTCACTGACTGTTCTAAGAGGTTTTATGTGTCCATAACACTTGTGAGCCGACAAAGTGTCGCAAGGCACTGCGTCAGGAAGCAGCACATCGTTGCGAATGCCCGAAGAGCTTTCGACTGCCATGGCATCAGCCAACGGCCAAGGGTCCAGACGGAACAAAATGTGCGCCAATAAGCCACATGTCACTACCCTGCAGAACTTAGTGTGTTTTGCATGCTCACATGGCTGATTATCTTAGACGTGGAGGGCACAAGGCGCCATTTAGGCATGCTAAGCTATAGCTTCGTTACATCATACAAGGCGAGATCCGTTTCGGGATGTTTCGGGTATCAGACAGTTTGAGCATTTTTCCCAGTGTGTGCATGCACCTGCTTGTGGATGCAACCGGCTCCCAGATGCTACGAGAAGCCGCAATAGCTGCGGCTCGCCAGAAAGCTGCGTGTGCTGCTCGTGAAGGTGACGGCTCCGGAGCCGAATGCGCCTCAAGGCATCTGACTCCGTTGTGCGCTGCAAGTTCTCCGGGAAGTACAACACGGGCAAGTGTCCGTGGAACCGACATGTTCTAGCTTGCAATGGAGATCAAAGGTGCCACTCACTGCTTCGCACTCCTCAGGCCGGCCGTTGCTCCTCTCAGGATCTGTCAGGCGAACCTCAGCCGCCTTGACTTGGACTTGGATCTGCGACTTCGAGCGGATCCAGGGTCTCCGCAGTTTCTGTCATCTGCAAATAACCTCGTCATCCCTTTTCATTGAATTCGTCTTTCCAGCAGCTCCTCGATCTAAACCAACCTCCGACGGGCAGCCCAACGGACACGTCGACGTAAAGGGCATGTCAATGTCTCGAATGGCTCTTCGCCGTCAGGGCATCATCGTGTCAGGAAAGGTTGTTCCTGCGATCGACGTCCAACTTGGTGACCTTGCGCTCAGCACCGTCAGTTGCTTTCTGTTCCAGAGCTGCCCTCAGACGGTGAGCGGGCACAGGCGTTGACGGCACTCTGACGCAAAGACCATGGACAACGGAGCTGAGCATTGGACGGAAGCAAAAGCTGAACGTCTCCGGTGGCGATGCTTCTTCACAGAACTGGTCAAGGCTGTCCATGTCAGTGTCCTTTCCTGCAATGCACAGTGCAAGAACTAAGGCGATGCGATCAGGTCACTAGTCTCACTGTGAGTGCAAGAGTCCCGCATGGCGACCGAGACAGACCTGGCGGTGTCTGAGTTCAGCTTTGCCGCTGCGTCAGCATGCGCTCCGGCCTAATGAAGCGGCAGCCCTTGTGAAAAGATCTCAGAGAGTCCTCGGATACTTGCGGGCATCCTGCGACAAAGGACAGTCTCACGCACTTGGCATCACCAAGCTTTGAAAGCCCGATGCACGCTCAACGTAGTCCTCGTATGTCCACGGTCTGAGCATCATGGAGCAATTCGGCTAGAGCCTTAAGCGCGGCATTGTTACATCTCGCAGATCGCACTTTTGTGTCGCCGAGCAGGAGGCATCACACGATCGATCAGACAGTGAAGTGGCGCCACCGAGTGAGAAGTAAGTGACCTCAAATAACCAAACTGTGCAAAATTTCATCCGACTAATGGTTCAAAACATTACAACCTTTCCAGATCACACCAACGGACCAAAAGCCGCGAAACTCGTGCACATGGAGCTGTTTCAGCACTAAGCAAGAAGCCTGACCCAAGCCCTCCAAGATACGTCTTGCATTCAGCATCCGTAAAAACCCGACCCAAACGAGGCTCGGTTTCGAGCAGACCGCAACGCGATGGCTGCGGGGTTGCGGTTGTGCTGCCTCGAACAGTCACAAGTGCAGGCCGAAAGCATCGCACGTGTGCAGCTATCGCACATTGCTGCAGCCTTGCCTTCTTCTCCTTGGCGCCAACGGTTCGGGCCTCAAACTGTGTTCTACTACATGGAGACTTCAAGAGACTGCCGTGATGAGCTATTCCGAAAGCAACAGTGACTTTGAACGAGGATGGAGTCAAGGGTGTGAAGGGCCGCGTGAAGCTTTTAAGAGGGTCCAGCCGATGGCGAAGATCCTTGACAAAGCCTTCAGCTCGAATCTCGACAGACTCCGGCTCCAGCACGACGGCAGAATGGTTTCATTGTTCAAAGCTGCTCCTTGACGATCAGGATAGGATCGGCACCTGCATCGTTGTTGTGTCCTGCTCTTGTGCGCTTGTTGCTTTCTGCCACGCACAGTCTCCGTGTCAGCTTCTCGTGCCGTCTGTCAAGATTCCGTAAAGTATCGCCATGTATCGCCTTCATGCTGAAACGCGAGACAGTTCGGTGCCAATCATGCTGATATCCCAGCTGCGTGAGACGGCCACGGCGAGCCAGAACCACTCAGGAGACGCACAGTCGGCGTTGGAGCGTGCGGCATCAATAAGATCCACCAGCCGCGCAGTATGCCGATGCCGTGTGTGTAGGCAGGCGGCTATTCAGCTATTCTATTCCTCGCCATGCGTTTTGGGACTCTGTCCGTATCACCAAAGGTTATTTTGTCGATTCCAACGAACCCGACACCCATGTTTCAACGTTCGGTGAAGTTAGCCGCAAGGCTGGACCTGCCAATAGCGGCTGGGTCCGTGACAGCTCGATGGGCGTGTTCTGGGAACTGTAGCCTCGCAGTGATGACAGCACCTGCAACGCCAGCTGCAGCTTCTGCAACTACTACAGTATCACGAGGTCCCGGACAAATGCAGCATGTTGCGACCTGATCAAGCTGTCTGGCAGCAAAGATCTCATCCTGCCGCTCCCCACGGTTGCACCACCTGCCGCAAAAAAACGATGCTTGGGCGCTTCCTGTCCTTCCGCCCTCCCTGCCTCGGAAACAAACCTTCCGACAACGCGCAGTTGCGAAGCACCTAAATCGGAAGCCAAGCACTCAGTGAGAATTTCGGCTGGGGCTTGTGGAAACGATTGCGCAGTAAACGTCTGGGGTACTACGGAGTAGATTCGGCACGTGATTCAGTCGGTTCGAGAAAGGAAGCCTTTTAATTTCAAAGCCCCTTACCATGCCTGATGTGGACGGCCTCTGTGCTTGGTGTGCATCCGTAGGCTCTTGTCCGACGGACGTGCTTAGCATGCCTCAGCTAGACATGCTGTTCTTTACAGCCTAGCCCTGACGAAGTGCCAGCCGCACAACTCTGTCCCCATACTATACGGCTTTACAAGTACCAGTGGTACTGGAACAGGAGCAGCAGCACAAGCAGTGGCAGCAGCAGCAGCAGCACAAGCAGTAGCAGTAGCAGCCGCAGCAGCAGCAGGAGCAGGAGCAGGAGAAAGAGCAAGAGCAGGAGGAGGAGACGGAGCAGGAGGAGGAGGAGGAGGAGAGGAGACGGAGCAGGAGGAGTAGTTGAAGTAGTCGTCGACGTCGTAGTACTAGTACTATGGGTAGCCGTCGTCGTCGTAGTAGTAACAGTAGCAGTAGCAGTAGCAGTAGCAGCAGCAGCAGCAGCAGGAGTAGTAGTAGTCGTCGTCGTCGTCGTGGTGGTGGTGGTGGTGGTAGTTGTAGCTGTAGCTGTAGCTGCAGCTGCAGGTGTAGGTGTTGGTGGTTGGTGTTTGGTGTTTGCTGTTTGTTTTTGTTGTTTGTTCTATGCTGGTTGTGGTTTGTTGGTTGCTGTTTGCTGCTTTTTGTTTGTTGTTGTAGTTGTAGTTGCTGCTGCTGTTGCTGTGGTTGTCGTTGTTCTTGTTGTTGCTGTTGTTGTTGTTGGCTTTGTTAGTGGTGGTAGTGTTGATGGTGACGGTGGTGTTGCGCCACTTACACCACTTGGGGACCAAGACTGCAAGATTAGCAGAACTTCGTTCACAAACAGCGGCCTCAATTCCCGGCATAATGTATATAATGTAGTAGTAGTAGTAGTAGTAGTAGTAGTAGTAGTAGTAGTAGTAGTAGTAGTAGTAGTAGTAGTAGAAGTAGAAGTAGAAGTATAGAAGTAGAAGCAGAAGCAGAAGTAGAAGTAGTAATAACAACAATCAATAATATGATGAATAATAACAATAAGAAGAGGAGTAGAGGGAGGAATAGGGGCAGGAGTAGCAAGAGCAGCAGCAGTCATAGGGGCAAACGAAATTGCAATAGTAGCATTACAAGTAGTAGAAGTAACGGAATAGCAATAGATACTATTATACAACTTGTGGCTTGTGACACATACAATGCGGGTCATGCTTCATACTATTGCTACTCCTACTCCTTCGCCTGCCATGTCTAGTTACCATCTACTACTGTCAACATTGCGGTCTTCGCAAGCCACACTGGTTGGTGTTTCTAAACGCAAAACCCTGCAATTCACCACAATAGAAGCACGCTAAACCAAAAACTGCACGAACACCCACAATACAAGTAATGCGGAACAAGAGAGACTCAATTCGAAGTTGTAGCCAAGTGCAGTGCTAGCTGCAAACAAGAGAACACGACAGTTCCCACTGCAGTATTTGTAGCAACAGCAATGAAAAGCAGCATCTGCAGTGGCATGATACGCAATCCAGAAAGGAAAGACAGGATCAGCCAGGACAAACGGAAAAAACACCAACGATGTCAACGCACGACAGCGAACCGACCGGAACGAGAGCAACCTAACAGCAGCGGCACAGCATCCGAGGCGTCAGCAAGGGTCTGCAGCAAGGTTCGTCCAGCCAGGAGCATCTTGCAGACGGAACAGGACATCAATGGACTGTCAGAGCTGTGACTGCTACGCCTGTGTCGACATTCCTAACCTCTGCGAAACTGTGTCGGTACGTTTAGTACCTCCAGTACCAAGGCTTGACTTTAAACTTTGTTGACACAATGGACGCAATGTCAGAAAGCTTGCACGCAAAAGTGAAAAGTGTCAATGGCCTCCAACTCTGCATCCTGCAAGCCAATGCCTGGCACAGGCGCGGAGTCTGCATCCAGTGCTCTCCTTCGTAAGTTGTCGGGTCCCTCTGCTTCAGAAGTTCTCTCGGACCACTACACTCACTACACAACATTTCAGTGCATCGACATGCTGTTCTCTTCCTGCAAGGCGGCCCAATCTATAGCGGATTCCAGAGTCTGTTGAGAACCACGAACCGGGTCTGGAGGATGCTTTGTGGCTTGGCCTGAATTGGAGCACCACAAAGTCAAAGAGGTCAAGCGGCTGAAGAGTGGCAAGGCCTTCACTTGGCTTGGTCTGCTCAAGGAAAGGGGTTCATGCCAGAAGCGGTAAGGCTGGGGCCAAGGATTCGACAACTGCGCTGTTTGGCCTGTTGAGCAACTGTGTGCGTGTCACCTCTTTGAACGTAGGTCCTCTTAAACCGCCTCAGGGAAGCATCCAGGCGAAGGAGCACCAAACGGACGCAACTCGTTCCAATGGAGCTCAGGGCCGCCTTGCACAAAGTGATTCTCATTGTTCCAAAATGTTCTAACACTGTGCTGCTAGCGGAAGTCGTCATCTTGCAATCTGCCTTCAACGACTCGTCTGTGTCGTTTTGAGGCAGTGTTACGGCCAGCTGTTCCAGCATGCGGCAGCTTGATGCAATGGCCTGCATAGTCATCCGGTTAAAGAAACTGAGATCAGACAGAGAACTCTGTTCATCAGTGAGGAAATACTCGTAGCAGAGGCAGCAGAACAAGGCAGGCCGATCAAACCCAGCATAAAGTTGAAGATCAGCTTGTCAACTCAGAACTCTCAAGTCGCAAAGCCCAGCAACAATCAGACTGCAGTTTCAGACATTGCCACAATAGGCAACCAGGTCGCAGCTTACTCTGGCCGCAAGTAACCGCTCTAGGGCTCTGAGAAAAACAACAGCCAGGATGTAACAGGGACATGTGGGATGCCTCGAGCGCCGATGAGTACGCAACATCCTTGATGCCATCCAGAAGGAGCTGCTCCAGATTGGAACCATACGCAGCAACCTGTTCGGATGGACTGCTCATGTGCAGCTGCTGGTACGACTTGCCGGTACAACCGGGGCTTCTGCAATGCTCTTGAGCGATGGCAAAGGCATCCGCTGCACGAATTTGGCTGCCTCAGCACAGATTGGAGGTCCGGGACAGGTCGTATGCTCATGAAAAACCCAAAAGCCGAAGAAGTTGTCAGAACAAAACTGAGTCTTCGGACCGGAGGCTGGCCCATTGGAGCAAAGAACACCTGGCTGCAACCAGACAGGTCTGAGCTTGGCGCCCGAACCTGTGCCACCTGGCTGGCATCGTCACCTGCGGCATCGGAACCGCGCCACATGTCTAATAACACCGGGCCTTGCCTGCACTTGCAGACGGTGGCAGAAGCATGGATGGAGGTTCCGGAGGCATGCACGCCGGCAACCTAAGTGAATGGTGGCCCCATGCTTGCGACGGCTCGAACGCGTCTTAAATGCATGCATGCATACAGACATACATGCGTGCAAGAATACACACAGACATATGTACATTACAGACAGACAGCATGATCAGTACTCAATGCCAACCGTGCGCAGTATACATTGTGCGCCCACACACACACACACACAACTTGGGCGCGTGCAAACCCAGGCGAATAAACAGTCACGTGCATACATTCCTGCAATCATAAGCATCATGCTCTCATACGTTCTCTGACTTTTTCACCCACTCTAGCGAGGGGCAGTGAGTAAGGAAGGGGCAGGGAGGAAGATAGGGCTAGGGGAGTAGCAATCGCCTTATAGCAACCAGAAACCGAAGCCGAAACGACAGTGGAAATCCGTTCGCAGCCCTCAGCACGCCCACGACGAGACTCGAGACCAGTACAGCTGTGCACGGGACGAACTTCGGCACAACGCTAACACTGACGATTGCACCACATCGAATGCACGGTCAAACCGCTTCTTAGGCTGCCCTTCGGACAAGTTACCATGCAGCTACCGGTGCCAATGCAAGCCCACTCTCAGGACCGTTGTGCTGTCCCGCTCAAAGTAGCTGATGGAGAGATGATGGAGAAAAAGCAAAGCAACGGTGCGGCAGCAACGGCTGCTGATGCGACATACGGGGATTCCAACATTTGCAAACGTGAGCATGAACAAGATTTGGGATGGAACTTCTAGCCTCAGCCCGAAATTCCAGACCAACCCACAAGCTTTCTGAGACCGTAATGGCCCGAGCACCGCGAATTCGTGTCTATTATCTTCCCCAACAAAATGCTCCAAGCAGTACAAGAGACAGGATGGGCACACAAGAGACAACAGTGAAGATGCTGTTTCTTTCGCTGCAAACAATCAACGGCATCGCACTGCACATAGCTCGAGCAAAGCACCAGTTAGGAGGCAGCGGAGACAGCGATGCGCTCGACTCCTCCGTTCCACACAGGATGAACAAAATTTGAAAATAAAGCTTGATATGAGAGCCGCACCCACTGCCCAGTCGACGCGATCATCGGAAGTGCTGGAAGAGGTGCACCAGCATCAAGACCCACATCTGGGCGAAAACGCAGAAAAGTTGAAGGTCGTGTCTAAGAGTCTAAAGACTGGACAAGACTGTGCTGAAAACATCAGCATCCTGAGCTCGAAAGTCGTTCCAGTACAGTGAAGTAATACCGCGACCGTTGACTGCAGTGTAGCATTCATGATACAGATTCATGTTGGCGGGTGTAGAGCACAGCGACACAGCACCGCAGTCTTGCAATCCCAGCCTAACGCGATGGCGCCAAGATGATCCAGATCGATCGACTTCAGAGGCGGCCGGGTGACCTCACGCTTGACGGCATCGACGACGCACAATCTCTGCACACTGTCTTCGTGCTCGCACCCCCTGCACGCTTGAGCTGAAGGCACTGCTGGCGTCTGCAAGTATGTCCAGCGCATGAGCTGTCGCTCTCAAACACCATGAAGCATTCAGACCTGCAGCACAAATGCATCAACAGAGCGTGAGTCGTCGCGCCTGCCGTAAGCACGTGAGTCGGTAAGACATCAACGTTCGAGATGTTGGCACCTCACTCAAGCTTGAGACATGCATCTAACATCGGAATCCACGAATGTCTGATCCAGCAGTTTCTCGGACGCACACACACACACACGAAATCAGGGTAAAGGATATGTTCCTGTTGTGGCGGGGATGCGCTTGTGTTGCTGCCGTGGCAGGGGTGGGTTTTCGGTTGTCGTAGATAGGATCGGCGCTGTCGTGGCACGCTCGCATTTGTGTGTCGTAACCCAACGCCAGGTTTTTTCGCGGGGTCCTGTTCTGCATAACCAGAGTACGCCGTCGATGAGTTCCAATTTGGAGTGTCCTGTACTTGGTTCTGACGGCGTGATTGCCACTTGTTTCATGCATTTCCACGCACGTTGGCGCCGTTCTCGTGTTCGTGTGTATTTCTATGTGTATGTATATATGTATATTGCAATGTGTATATATATATATATGTATCCATATTGACATTTATCTTTGCTCTTGATTACTTGTTTGCTGGTTGTATCTTGTTGTGCTTTGCTGTGGTGTCGGGAGTGAATATGTGGCTGTCGTGGCAGGTGTGCATTGTTGCTGATGCGGCCTGGCCGTATGCTTACTCACTTGCTGACCTGCTGTGGTTCTCGTGTAATTTTCACGACTCAGAAGACAAACAACCACAGCCAAATCTGACATGCGTTCTACGAACCAGGTCTGCAGAAAATTAAGTAGTGCTTGGGGTGAAGGAGCAAGCATTGAACGCATCTTTGAACAAGTCGCTGATTCACTTGTATTGTGAAACCGTCGAAACCGGGTGCAGCCGTCAGATCAGCTGGTCATAGCTAACAGCTTGACATGCCGAATGCGGGTCTGCTACCCACTTGATAGAGCAAGCGCAAGAAGCTGTGAGACGGAGTGAACGACACAAGCATCACAAAGGAACTAAAACAACAGTCTGGCATAACAACCTATCCATCTGACCATCCACTCACCCACATACGCGCACACGCGCACAAACACCTGCACGCACAGACCTACCTACACATCTACCCTTAACTACCTAGCTACAACCTACAAACAAACATACATGCACACATGCATAAATGCGTACATCCATCCATGCATCCACGCATACTTAGGCGCACATACATGCATACATTGTGACTACATTTCATGCATACACACACATACCTACCTTTTTACAAACATGCATTCATTCATGCGTCGTAGAGTCGCAGATACCTACAGTACCGATACAATCCGTTCCTCTGCCCTCTTTGCCACCCATCTGAGCCTCTGACTGCATGATCGCTTCGAAGCTTGCATCGGTGATCTCAGTGCTGCGAACCTGGATTTCGACCACGGGACACGCCTTGAGGACCCAAGACTCAATAGTTTGGGCTCGCACGCATAGTGCCTGCAACTTCGAGCAGAATGTCACGAGGGACAGAACTCCCGAGTCCGTAAGCTTCATCGCCCACCTGACTTTGTTCAGCGACAGGCATGTCAGACATGATGCTGAAACACAGCGGCCAGCAGACAGCAGAATCATGTCTGGCAGTCCGGGACTCTACAGCATTCTATGCCTGCCTAATAAGCTTTTAAGTTTTACTGACAACGTAGCAACAGCTAGGACCCTGCATCTTCTCTGACTGCTCGCATCATCTCTCGTTGACGAACTGCGCGCCCCCAATCCAGGCTGAAGGGCGAAGGGCTTTCGCAGCTTTCAGAAACGAGCCGAGGCTGCCCAACGTCGACGACTTCCAGTTGGGGAGCACGTCTCGCAATGCTTTCGAGGCCCCGGTCGCTCACATTTGTGCTTGACCTCTGCCAGAGAAAGCCCACGACGGCTGCTGTGCCTGGACTGCTGAGGCTGCTGCAGTCGCAACTCGCGGAGCAAAGAATGAGGATGAGCCTCATTCAGAAGCAGACTCATCACATATACTTCGATCCGGTGGCACGCGCTTCTTTAGCAATGCATACGATCCACATGCTACGACCCTATGCCAATGCGAGCAGTGCTTGTTGTGAGTATCCAGATGCACTACATAAGCATCCTGCTTCAAAGGGAGCGTCAGAGAGCTGCGAGCAGAAAGACAGATCCAACGCTTGCAAGCCGAACTGGAACAGCAGCTCGGATGCCACCTGAGCGACAAGATGCGACAAGCACCGAGACGAATTCCGAACCCTTGTGAGCTGCGTTGGCTACATGCCTCATCGGTGACGGTGCCATGGCAATATGCCAGGCCAAGCGTCCTCCAAGGGCGAGTCACACTCTGCTCTCATCTGCGGATGACGCTTTCTTGGACGATATCTGGTTTCGTGAAGTTCTATGCCTGTGAGGGGACAATCAAAACGTGTCCAGTCTTGTCCGACTGAAGGTCGTGAACAGTCTACCCGAGATCCATACCTTTTGATCCAGGCGCGATGGGCTTCAATCCATTCAGAAGACAGGGGTCCGTGAGTTTGCTTATCAAGCGCCTGCGCAACCCCCTCACCACCACCCACTCCGCCTGGCGTTCCCGCGGCCTGACACACAGCAACTCCTATCTGTTCGGTGAGACACATCCGGATCTCGAATATTTCGCTGATCATGTCTTATGGCATTACATAAAGATCAGACTCTGCCGGAAAGCAAGCCTTGTTCCGCATGATGCGCATGTACCTTTCTGGGCTCCTGGTTCGTAGATACCATGTTAGGATAGAATCTTGAAGGTGCTTCGGGGTAAAACCAAGGATCGAACGCACGACAGCGCAAAGGAGTTAGCGCCTCACTATGATTTCCAACAGGACATGCGCACCAGCATCCCAAACAGGCCGTATAATGTACACTACTTCTGAAACCTTGATACTCGTAACATCTGATTCCTCCCACATCCGTATGCATGTGCAAGTGCCAACCGCCTGCCTAACCATTGCCTGACAACATTACAGCCGGAGGCGGGAAGGCATCGAGTCATCTCTTCTCTGCAGTAGCGCTTAGGAGATAGGACCCATCAAAACAGAAGGAAAGGAGCAGATTTTGCAAACACTCCTTCAGCGCTCTTAGTGCTCCTCGGTCCTCAAATAGGGTGCACCCTTGAAGACGTAGCCCATGAGTCCCTGCGAAGGGTTAAAAGCAGGCAGCCATTCAAAGTCGACCGGACCAGAGTCTTACAATACGGAGCTGCCTTGCGCTTGACTTCGGTTTTCCTACCAAGGGCAGCTAGTCAGATAATGTTGCGTGATACTTGTGGTCGGAAGGTTTCCAATCTCCCTCTTCTTCCGACATTCATTTATTTCTCAAGACGTGCTATGACGATTCGTCTACACGTCCTGGATTCCGCCATAGTCCGTCTCTCTTCAATCAAAGGGCCTCGGCAGTGATCTGGCCGCATTTCCCGACGGAGAGCTCCCGCAACCCGAGCAATCCTGCCAGTGGAGGCTTCCACCTCACGGGTCGACCCGCGTTCGCAGCTTGTTGCCAAGGCTGGTGGAGGTCTCAGGGCGCCACAGGGAGGGTGCAAAGGCACTGTCCGAAATGCGAGGGCACCCGTCAAGTCGCAGGACTTCTAAGCGCTCGCAATGCTGGAGGACCTTTCGACTGTTCTTGCCAATGTCTGCATAAACTTCTCACACAGCTGTCATAAGGCTGCAGCATCTCTGACGATTTTGTTGTCGACCTGTTGACATGTCCTCACGTCCAGCACGCAGAGATTTGGACAGGAGCGGCCGATGGTGCTCAGGACCTCAGGGTATGAGCAGCTTGCACTCTTGCACCGTGAAATTATGCAATCCAAGCACTAAGTTTCTGGCACACCGGCGCAGCTGAGCTGCACCTTCAAGACCCAATTTCTGCGTCTGACGCGTCAAGGAGTATGGTAGTACCTGACCCAGAATCACGGCGAAACTGCCCAAGTGCTTGGGGGGATGGGCAGCACACGTTGTCATTCAAGGCATTCCTGGCCATGAGTCCGCGGATATATCTACACTCTTGAACTCTCAGAGTTCCCAGCCTGGCCACAAGGATGTCCAGCAGGGCCTCCACTTCAGACTGGCAGTTTTTGGCGCTACTTAGGCTCTGACTCTGTCCTGCTCGGCTGCTCGGCTCAGCAGAGGTTTGGGAGATGACTGACCGTCTGACCACCAAGGCATCGAAGCTGTCGTAGTAGTCAAGCGTAGCAGTTACTAGTGTCGTGCCATTTCAAGCGCAGCCGCGCTGAGTTGAGTTCCTCCGTGTTGTAGTCAGACCAACCCCAGAGAACAGTGTCGGGCGTTCAGCTCGGATTGCAATCGCTTCGGTCGGTGGCTGTCAAACGCAGTCCACCACGAAAGCATCAGTGCAAGAAGACCAACATGCTTACAATGTCCACCAGCTGTCGCAAAGCATGCGGTTGCAGTTTGACTGTAAACCCTACATGTCAATTTTCTCGAGTAAAAAATGTTTGCAATACTCCGGGATATGCGTAGGCAGGCTGGGTAGTCTACGAGGGTATACAACGCTGCAGCCTGCACGAAGACCGCTTCCTCTGCCTTCGAGCTGCACCCTAGCGGCGACCCCGTTCTAACAGTTTGCACGGTTCGGATCTGCATGCTTTCTTCTTGTACAGCATGTCAGCTTTCGCTTGGTGTCTTTTGTTCACGCCGAGTCACTTTTAGTGTTCCTTGACGGGTTTTTAAGTAAGGTAACGGAGCAGCGCAAGCACGCGCCTCCAGAGCTCTCCGAGGCAATGCAGAGAGGGTGGTGTAGCGCACCTGTCAGCAAAACTGGGACTTCGAACTGCCGCAGAAGGATTCAAATTCAAACGGCCATCTCTTGCATGACCAAATCTTGATCAAGGTACCCGCTTCGGACCGTACTTAATCAGGTTCTGCGCAAGCTTCTGGACCTAAGCAGCTTGATGCGGGAGCCAGTCTAGTCTACGATCGCGTAGTCACAGTGATCGTCTTCGAACATCCTCGAACAGTGTCGCTCTCTCTTTCGGAGGCCCGACTTTCACCCATAATTATCTCAGAGGCACCTAAACATTCGCAGCGACGTGTCGGATTCACCAGCCCTGGAGTCAAAATGTCGCCGGAGTGTGCTGACCCCCAGCCAAGCCCATGCCTGTCCTTCTCCTCCCGACACTGCGCGGCGCGCAGGACCTTTCCCCCCTCTGTTACAGAAGGCTCGCATCGAACCGACTCATCTGTTCACCATTCTTCTCAAACCGAAAAAGTACCGGAAATTGCCTGAGTTCTAGCACTCATACTGGCAGCTGGACACTGTGTTGAACAAGGTTTTTGGAGACATCTACGGGTATTGCTAGGCTTGAGAAACCGGTACAGTCTCATGAGACCACCGTGCAGAGTCGGTCCCGAACCATCTCGAAGAAAACTTGATAAAACTTGCGCGGTGGGGAGGGAGTAGTTCATCGGGGCCAGACTGTGCTGTGGGCGACGAGGTTGACTTTGCAGCAATCAACTACATCTCAGCTAAGCCGTGACGTGACAACGCTGCCAAACGTTCGATCATGAAGCTCAAATGCTGGAGTCCCGTCTATAATGCTGAGATCCCAGCACACAGCTGCAACAAGGATGGTGCGACCTGCATTGCAGGTCTGGGGGGACCTCCCAAACCTGTCAAGCAGGCAGCAATACTGACAGGAAGAATCAAGCTAAACAAAGACCTTGGCCTCAAGGCAGCGAAGCTACATGGGCTCCATGGCGACACAAGGCGGCTCCAGGTTCCATCGCAGGCTCCCACGGCTGTGAAAACTCCAACAGGACCAGATTCAATGTACTAGTAGTGGAAGTCAGTAGAAGTACATGCATATACATGTTTTTAAATATGTATATATATATATATATATGTATACATGTGCCGTGCATCAATATATGTATCAGCATAATTTCTACGAATGCCTGCGTGCATGCATGTGCATGCAAAGCCTTCATGATTAAGACATACATGCATATACACGTACATTACGATACATACCTGTCCATGCACGTAACAATACCTTCATGTGTACATTATACATATCCTATGTGTGCATCTATCTTTTTTGTACGGATACAATCGGCCTACAAGTGTGCACACGAGAGTGCAGTGGTGCGAGTTAATTACTCAGTATTGAAAAATGCTGCGGGAACAGAAAGCATGCAGCCAGCTGAAAATTCGAGATTCCGCATGGTGAAGAGAACAGGGGGCTGGAAGCGTTTATAGTGTGTATTGGTGTGTGGCGCAACTGGTGCTGCCACGTGCTGTCCACACGAAACACAAGTGTCCGAAGCCAGCTACAGGACCCAGTCAAGATTCGTCTGCTGCACTGTCGAAGAAAGACGCGCTCGCAGGGAGCATCTGCTCCCGTTTGTAATTACCATTCCCGCAGCTGTGGGGTTCTTTCATGTTCTTTCTGAAGCCCTTTTGTCTGGTCTACATTCTGTGCAAGCTTGAGGGCGGAAACACTGCGGCAGTGTAATTTAGGAATATTGTCACGTGAGACGCTGCAGACATAGGCGCTTACAAAGACGTCGTATCATGGTCCTCTGAAAGGCTTGATGAGATCCAAATTGGGGCCTACGCCACGCTCCTTCGCTTGCACCGGTGAAGGCCTGTGCTTGATGTGCGTTGTGTGCGGGTGTGTGAGTGTGTCCAAGTCTCACAACAACGAAGCTGCTGATGAACAAACGAACATACTGCTCGCCCAGTGGATGTGACGCTGCACCGTGTATCTGAACATGTGCGACAAGCAGGAAACCTTTTGCGGGCTGGAGTCAACAGCAGTGCTATTTGCTGTGCTGGCATGCAACTTTGGCAGGCCGCTGTCAAAGAATCATCTGCAATCCCTCAGTGCTCAATCTCCGAAGAGCTCCGAGACGCTCACCTCTGCAAGGAGGCAATGCCGACACGCGTCCGCGGACCTTCTAGAGCTTGCCTCCAAGCAATCGAGGAAGATGATCTTCGTGCTGTGTGACAGCCTGTCCAAGCGAGAAGACACGTCCGAAGCCTTTGGAAAGAGGCCGAGCTTCGGGCTGAGACTCCAGGGCGAAATGTTTCAGATGCAGCCGGGACGTTTCATCCTCTGGACTCAGAGAAAACTCTCCGCAAGCGATTAACGTCAATCGAGTCCTGCTTCAGGTCTGGCAACACCAGCTCCTGAACATCTGGGAGCTCCTGTCACAAGTCTTATTCGTAATCTCACAAGATGGCAGGGAATTCGAAAAGCAGCCGCTTAAACTCAGGACTGCAATGATGGAACAGAAGGGTGTCCCGGACCTCTTGGATCTTGCAAGACAACATATCGAATTCCAATGTTGCATTATTTTCTGGCTTTCTGGCTCCCTCAACTGATGCCTCTACTGCGTCGGATCAGCGGGATTGACCTCCTTTATTGCCCTGTAAGTGGTGTCGTGCCTTCAGCATGTCACTCAAAGTTGGCAGCTGGAGGAGGGCAAAACCAAACACCTCAAAAAGTTGTATGAGCGACAGGACTCTCGTGAAGATTGGGGGGCTTGCGGATTTAGGTTCCTGCCGCAACGCGAGTGTATGTGGCACGGTCCACGGAAGAAACCTGAAGCACGCTGGCATAGTCGTGTGCGTCTGGAAGCACTGCAGCCCCGCCTTCCGCAGCTTCTCAAGCGCATGCTCTGGGTCACCAAACAGGTGCGCCAAATCAATGACGAAGGTCTCCAGCTACTTCTGAATCTGCAAACTTTCCACGGTCAACGTCACAATCACCCCTGCCTCAGCGTCTTTGTTCTGGCTGCCTGCGCCTTCGAGTTACTTGCACAGATTCATGGATGTACACTGATTCGACCTGTTGAGTGTGGGTGTCCTTTCGGTTCCGGCGGAGGCCGTTTCAAGGCAGCAGTTGGCGCAGCATCATAAACCGCCTCGTGAATAACGACATGAGCTGACGCAACGCTCAACGTGCAAATATCTGCACGTGCTGCGTGTAGCGGCCTTGGCAATCCGATGCCGATGCGAAGACACCAAAGGAATTCGATGTTTGGCCTGTCGTTGAAAACAGCTGAAACAAGTTTGAGGCACCCTGCTTGGGCGAGTGTAGCTCAACTTCTCGGCGTGTGTGTGTGCTGCGAAGTCAGTGTTGATGTTGCTGCCTTGTGTCACTTTATTTAGCTATATTTAGCTGACAGTAGCCGATTGTGGGCACAGCCACTTTACTTACCACCCTCGCATCTGCGCCATTCCTCATATCGAGCGCTGATCAAAACGCTGAAGCCGCTCACATCCACCATCGTTTGCTAGCCGTTTAACATGAAACTTGTTGGAAACCCTGCAAGGTCTGGCTGGCAAGCAGCATCAGGCACGTCTCCCTTCAAGGGAGTGCGAAGTATCGCTACATAGGCTTCCAGTCTGCTGCAACCAGGGAGCCAAATGAAACACTTTCTCCACTTCAAAGGGCTGCCTGAATTCCAACCAAATCGCCCATAATTCGCCTCCATTCCCTCCGGCTGGCAATGACATGTGCCGGGCAACGGCAGGCAAAGAATTTGCATGCAAAGCCCACGACGGTCTGGTCTAGTCTACGACCATAGGATACTATAGGTGTATGTTGGGGAGGGCAGCAAAAAGATCTAGCATGTGCACGCAGCACCTTTGTCGAGATCACACTTCTTAACAACCCTTTCAAGGACAAATCATGTCGATGTGGCCTGGCGAGACTGCTACAACTGTCGGACCCTCTTATGAGCCTGATCAGCTGATGGCCAACCTCTCTGTTCTCCATTTCGCAAACCAGTTGCATTTTGCAATGCGATGTTTCTAATTTTTTTGCGTCCAGCTGTTTACAGGTGGTGAATGGAAAGTCACATTTCAGGAGAATCCTTCATCTCACCGGGTTGAAGCCAAATCTGGCTGTCCTGCAGTACAAGGCAGATACCTGCAGCTGCCAACCTGCCCTTGTGGAACGCAGCGAAGCATCTCCTTCATGTTCATAACCACACGGTCGGCCTCTTGCAGGATTGGCGAGAAATGGCGAGACTGCGGCATTCTCTCTGCTGTCGTTGCAGAAGCACGGGCCTGGAACAACACATCTTGACCTCGAAGTTTCTATCGAGCTAAACACAGTACTCACCCCAGTCATAGTCCGCATGACCCGACTCCTCAGGCAGGAACCTATAATTGCAGCGGCGCCCTTGAATGGACCGATTTTTGAATCTTCCAATACCTTGAGGCTGTGCACTGTGACATGTTGCATCACAGCATCAACATGCAAGGTCACAGAGCGGCTTTGACATGCTTTGACTCTGGGACCATCTCTGTACATCGCCTGCCCTCATGAAAATTGGCTGCCAATCTGGAGGCTGCATGAGAGCTGTACTCCATGTAGTCGTGCAGTCAATGTGCTGGATGTGCATCAGGTACAGGCAGGAACATTACGAAGTGCTACGGCCACTACGGTTCCGCTTGGGTGGTTCCCAGCGTGATGGAAACTGGCATGCCGATGTCGGATCTTGGCTTGAGTGGGCTCGGTGGCTGAAGGGAGATACAAACCGCTCGGAGGGCGTGCCTAACGCGTGGGGACTTGTGAGTGAAAGGCACAAAGGAATCAGTAAGATCATTGATAAGCTTGCTAAGCAAAAGTCGCGAGTGACTGGTTATGCCCCTCTGGCAGCACACGCTTTCGCTGTGGCTACAGGGCATGCGGTCAGTCCGGCGGCCTTTCAGATGATGACAGGCTCTCAAGTCTCTGACTGCGATGCCTGTCGTAAGGGACCAAAGACTGTCGATCACGACATGTGGCACTGCCCTCGAATCTCGGATGCTAGGGTAGTGCCTCATGATCGGTTGCAGGAGCAACTTGGTTGGCCAACGGCCGAGAGGAACAGAGATCACAACATGAGAGTTGTTGTGCACATGGCTTCGGTCAGAAAGAAATGGCTTGAAGAGCGTCACGGGGAGGGTGTTACCCTCCCGAGCAGGCCTAGTAGTTGAATCAAGCCAAGGTGCTGGAGTGCTTCGAGTGCGCGGCTCCGCGAACCACTGTTGCACAAGTACAACGTTGTCGTCGAACGTGTGGAATTGGTTCGAGGGTTCCCACGGGTTAGCTTGCGTACGACGGATTGATGGTGCTTGCTCACGCCTTCTGACTCCAGAAATGCTCTGGTTGTCGATGCAGCTGAAATCAAACACCCTTACTTCCAAACACAAAACCTCGAAGAGCCGCTGCGTTTCAGCAGGTCTTACGATGCTACGTGGAAATGTAACCAGTCTTGCAAACAATGCCTCTGGACCTTGCGGGTCACATGTCGAGGCGATACAATGGTCCAACCAGTCAGGGTCACAGGGTCTGAATGTCTAAAACAGAAAAGCCCTCATGATCCCTCATGAAGTACTGAACAATCCCAGCGGTATCCAGCAGTGCTGTAATATGCTGTAATTAAGAGCCGTGCGGAAAGCGCAAGGGGATTTCCAATGGCAACCTGAGTGCTCAAAAGCGCAGGCCGAGAATAGCCGAGCGTCTCAGTCGCCAGCATCGATGGCGCCGAAGTCTACGCACTCGTCACCGCCGCTGAGGTCCTGCTCCGGATGGTGCGAGAGACATTGGACACGAGCCCAGCTCTAACCAAGGTCTTCGCACGAGACAGCACTGTCACATTGTATGAACAAAGCCAGTCCGCAAAGAACCAACCTAAGCGGCCGAGCCGGCATGTGCGCAGTAACACGGGGGCATTCTTTCAGCGGCAGGCCGTTGCCACCTTTCGCCTCCCATTCCTCCTTGCCCCATGCTGCGAGATCAGAGTGTGAATTTACAGTGCCTCTCAGCCTCTCCCATCTCACGGCGTCCTTCGAAACGGACATCAGCTTTGGCGCAACCTGTTTAGCTCCGACGTGCCAAACAACGCGGAGATGGTCCCCGTCAAACTTTGAGGCTGTGGCTCCCTCCGGAACACTGCAAAGGCTCAGACGTACTCGAGTCACTGGCATTTCCTTCTCAGAGCTCAGCGCCGCATGGAGAGGACGAAGCCAGACAGGATAGTTACAAACATCCCATCTTTCCACCCACCCCCAGCTTCACTCTCATTCGACCGGATCCTCTTATTCATGCTTATAGTCGTCCTCAGCTTGTCCATCTGCAGATGCGGCTAAGACCTTTCGGGGTTGAGCCAAGGTGCCATTCGTTCGTCAGAGAAGGTCAACTGTTGTAACCCTGTGTGCATCCGTGGTGCCGGGCCTTCGCTGCAGACGTGAGGCGCACATCGGACGGACCGCTGAAACCGAAGAGCTTGGCCGCCTCCCAATTGAGCACCTGGCTTGGACGAGCTGCTGCATCCACCAACTACTGTAAGCGGCAGCATGCGGCAACTAGCCGTCCAAAGGCAAATCCAGACCGTCGCACAAACACGCTGGAGGATCCGTGTGGGCTGCGCTGCTGTCCAGAAGGCCGATGAAAGCCGACGGAGTCGGTGGAAGATCGCCCTGTAAACGTGTGGAAATGGAGAGGCACAGCAGCACTGTGAATGACACGATTCGTCGCTTCTGCCTCTTCACTCATAGCAGCTCCCTTGACAGCGAGCCCCAGCTGGCTCTGCGGCAGCTCTATGCCAGGAAGATGCTTCACACCGCTGTAGAAACCTGGGATGCTTGCTTTACGGGCCAATGCGCCTGTCGTCATAAAAGTCGCGTGGAACCCAGCTCTTGGCTCACCAAGGCACCTTGCGATGCTGCGTCTCCAGGCGTGTAGATGTCGGCGCGGGCACGATATCGGTCAATGTCCTTCAAGCACTGCATCCTAGTTACTGCACTGCACACCACTCCCCTACCAGGGATTCTGCTTCAGCTGAACTGCTGCAGAACCAACCGTGAGCAGCGATGGGCCCATTGGCTGAAACAACGCCATGCAGCACCCTACCGGTTCTGTCAGCAAATGCCGAACTGTGGCTACATCAACATGCGCAGTACAGTAAGTCTGTATGTGTCGATACTGCTGAGATCCGGTCGACATCATACTGCGTGAAGAAGGGCTTACCTCACAATTGGGCACTGTCGGCTGTGGGAATGCCGTCATGCAGAAACGCATCAGTGCTGCAAAACTTTGGGAAGCCAGCCCAAGATACCATGCACCTCAATCCCGAGCTGCTCTGCCAGCTGCGCCTGCGACGCCGCGAAGATGTGCGAAATGTCTCACCATGTCCCACCGTTAGGCGCCGCTAGCACTTCTTGAAGCTGTCCGTAAGCACAGTCTGACGCCTGGGGGAAGTCCAAAGTGCTACATTCGCCCAGGTCAGCAAATGTGGAACCTGTCGGGCAAAACATTCATGACTGCCTCTGACGTAACCGCTTATATAAGTTGCCTGTCTCCAGGAATCGCACGTCTTGCAAGCTGACTTTAGTGGCAGCCTCGCTCTTAGAACCGACAGACTGGCGTCCGACTCTTCCGCGAGGCCGGCCTGGGCTTGCGAGAGCCAGCCTCCAGCGAACTTTGCACCTGGCAGAAGTCTCGCAATTGGTTGCCATCCCTCACGCCTCACATCCTCTCAGTTCAAGTCATCACGCCTTCGACATCAATCAGCCCTCGCCTGTCACAGACGGCAAGGGTCAAGAAACAGAGTTGGGCAAGAAGCCAAGAAAAGCGCCAAGCCCAAGCCACCCGCGCTCGGTTAGTGCATTTGTAGGAAAGCCAGAGCCGAGCATGAAGGTAAGAGGCTGCCGCCTAGGCAGCGACCCACCAAAGAGAGCATCGCGAAATCGCACTGAGCAGCAGGCCCCTGAGCAACTTCAAACCGCACAAATTCAAAGCCGGCTCCAAGAACTTCGTCGGGCAGCCTGCGCCCGGAGAGACAGAAATGTGTGTAGATTCTTCGAGCGGGTCCGGTCGGCAGCCTCACCATCTCCACCTCATTGTGAGGCGTGAAGGATCCGAACAATGTCAGACCACCTTGCACTAACATGGACTCTTGGTGCCATACAAGTTGGGCACGATTCGGCCGTTGAACGGCCTGTTCCTTTCCGAGGCCAAGACCCTTGCCGTGCCCAAAGCAACTGCCGGAGCCACGGGAGCCGCAGCCGCAGCTGCCTTCGGCTCCTCTCGGTTTTCACAGCCCGATACTCGAAGGAATCTTCATCCGACGGACCTCTGCGATGACCTCGGGAACTTTCGCGGAGCTCGACCCAGACGTCACACCTTCTGGACTCAGATCCCGCGGCAAAGGCACGGGATCCGGTTGTGACGGTGCTGTCGGCTCCGTCACCTGGCACGGCTCTGAACCCCTCCATGGCCATGGTCCATGTCAAAGCAAATCGCACCTGGATTGCTTCAACAATGGCTTTGCCGCGCCATCGCCCAGCAATGCCCTGTCAATTGCGCGAACTAGGGCAGGTGCAACGGTGCAGGCTACGACCGCCTGATCGAAAACCCAGCCACCGGCCACTTTGAGGTAGCCTCTCGCACAGCATGGCAACGGGCAAAGCCTGTTGCAGCTTCATCAGTGCCTATACCATCGTCTGATGGACTCAGTGCCTGCAGCAGCATACAATCTCGTGAGTCGTCAACGTTGCTTCCTTGTATGCTTGCTCTGCGGCCTCTATGGCTTCAAACACCTCTCCTGCACTGAGCGACTCACCTGCAAGACCACTAATGCCACAGACTGCAGACTCACGAGCTTGGCACTGTTGCAGCTTTGGCACCTGTAGGCTCCGAATTCGTGTCTGGCTCCTTGTACCAGGCTTCACAGCTTGGCTGGCGATTCAGAAGGTGTGGGATTCCGAGTCTGGCAGAATGCGGAGCATAGATTAGCCAGCTGTTTTGGAAATCTTGAACTCGCCTGACTCTCTTCGGGACTCAACGATCAATCCAATTCCTGCAAAACTGGTCGTTGACAACTACTAACCTCTGCAATTAATCAATCACTCTCAAGTATGACGACTTGTGATTATGTCATTAGCCTGGCCTTTCTCAATCGAATCTTCGTAAGCGAGCGATACCTCAGCATCTAAATCTGCTGCTGTTGCGAGGCATGTGGTGTACCAGAAACAACATGCATGCACACGGCCGCATTCTGCTACAGTATGTCGAGGTCACATGCTCCAGTCCACAGACATGACGGTAAGACATGCACTTGCCGGGGAGCAGCGCTGATGCAACTGCGAAAGAGCACATGCTGCACAATGCCCCATGGCAGTAGCAATCATGACTCGCGAAGCACAAAGCTGCCTAGCCGGTGAAGCCGAGATCGTCCATCGTTCAGCCTGGTTTGTACTGTCCATGAAGTAGACGTACACGCATAACATCAAGCTTTCACCTGGCCTCCTGAGACTGACTTGAGCGCCATACGGAGCCAACTGACCTGTGCTTTGGATCACGCGAGTACCCTGACACCCGGAAACACAAACCATTTTTGCTGCAAGCTGACCTGGTCGTGAACAAAGCGCTAATTGGCATGCAGACCAGGCACAAGTCACCTTGCAATGGCAAACAATGGCAGCTTTTGTTGCATATCAGCATGCTCTACCAAGCGGGACTTGGGTACGAGCTGAAGCAGCAATGCCAATGGCTATGCTCCGAAGGACCTGGCTAGCACACAGATATGCTACACACGGTGGGACCGAGGTAGCAGGTCCGTTGCAGAGAAACTGAGAGGGACACACGACGACGAGGCTTCCGCTTTGCCAGGGTGTGGCTTCGTTCAGTGGCGCTTGGAGAGGCTTGCTCTCGATGCTCCTGAAGCTGACAGTCCAAACCCATGTTGAATCCACTGACAGAGCTATGGGCACCGAGCTGCCCGGTGCGCCAATCCAGGTCGGCCCTCCGGCTCCATTCCACGAGCTATTGATAAAACTTCTGCGCGGTCTCGTGTGCGATTCATTTGCATGCTGTACGGGCGCTAACTCACGGGTTACTCGAAGTGGTTGACAACGGTGTTGCTTTGTGGTCTACAGTCTAGTTCTGCTCCTCTTGACCTGGCCTGCTGTCGATGCGAGTCGTGGCAGCACTCACGAAGATGCCATGGAGATGCACGCGCGATTCGAGGTGCAACAGTGGCCCAGCATGACCGGGAGGTTTTGCTACGAAGATCGTCCAGGCGATCCCACGCGAACTATTCTGCTGCCGGTGAGGGATCAGCGTTCCGCGCCCACTCACAAGATCTTCTGCTTGTTGTAATAGTCGGCTTGCAAGTGGCTGCCTCAAGCGGAAATGAAATTATGTTTTGACCTATCCAAGACCGGCAGTGCCATCCAAGCCTCAAACAAGGGATGCCGCCAGCTCGAAACAGCCTCCAAAGATCCATGACTGAATAGGTACAGTAAGTGTTCTGTTTTTGGCCCCTGTGAGCTTGCAGTCTTCCTCCCAGAAGTCTTCTGTTGGAGATCCCCCCCGCATTGCCACACCAGAGAGTTCGGTTTAGGATGTTCGGGCATCAGTCTAGGCCCGATCGCCTCTGGTACGTGGGTGCATCCGAAACCTGCCCAGCCACTTGGATCGGCTTAAGCCCGTGGGCAATCCTTGCAAGTAGCAGAAGCAACCAAAGCGTCTCAGTGAACATACAGGACCGGGGAATGACAGGAGCCATAGTTTTGGAATGTTTTGGATTTGTCTCGGTTTTCTGACGGGTTGAGGAGTTCGAATTGAAGATCCTAAATCCGGACCACTACGGGTCGCCAGGAGAAATGCGACTCTTACAGTCCGACGGTGCTAACCATGCTTCGGAGATTCCGGAGGCGGTGTAGGCAGGCTGCACCCATGCTACCTGCTTCTGAAAATTGTCTTTCAAGGTGTAACGAAGCTGGCTTTAGGGAAGCCGGTGAAGTTCTGGACAAGCTTCGGGGCCGTGAATTGCGGAGCATTCGCCAGCTTCGCGACCGCTTCCAGTTCAGTCTCTAGGCACGGCGCCAAGCGGCCATGTATCACCAACAAGTACAAAAGGCATGGAGTTAGTTCAAACCGCAACGCATCTGGACTAATTGACCCTTCCAACGCATGTGACTACATTGAAATTTGCGCGCCTGCGCCGCAAATCCGGACCCTGGCCCCGACCAGCAAACATCCGCCATCTGTGCACCTGACCACGTCTGAAAAGTGCAAGTTCGGCTCACTGCTCAGCTTCTGGATTTTCCAAAGTGAGGTCGGGTTCAACTTGAACTTCACGTCAACATGCCGGACTTGCCCGACAACTTTGCATGACCGTTCTCAGCTTCAGGAGTTGTGTCCAGCATGGGCCTCACGCAATTGTCCACAGTTTATAGTAGGATTTTCAGTGAAATCTACCACCCGGTCCAATTAAACCTGCCCAAACCCTGCCACTTCGCTCTGCCCCACGTTGCCCCAAACTTCATCCCAGCGGGCCACTCGGGCGACTCACGCCATTTGTGCCACTTGGTCCTTTTTTTCCACGCTTCTGCTCCCTACACACGCCTACCCTCCCTCTTCGGTGCTTCCTTCCCCTCTACCCCTAAACATCACCAGCCCTAGACCCTCCACTAACCCTACACCGCTAAACCTTAAACCCTAACCCCAAACTCTGCCTCTCCCTCTAAATCCTATTGCCCCTAAACTCTCAACATCCCTCAACCAGGCAAGTGGCACAAGTGGCGCAAGTGGCCCCCACTCCACCCGAAGTCGCAGAGTTATCTTGTCAAGTGGGCATACTTCTTGGAAACCGGTAATGAAGCACTATCCACTTGTCAAGTGACGCGTTCGAATTTTCGCCTTCCTATCATTTTTTTAGCCTCAACAAACCTAAAGCCAGCCGCAAAGCTTCAAATGCCAAACTGGAGTCCTCGACTGTCAAGCCGTAAGCCAGGCGCACCGCACGACTGCTTTATAGGTCAGCCTGAGCCCCAAAGAGCGATTCCAGAACCCTCCCAAAACAAAAGTTAACCCTGGAACTCTAACTCTAAAACTGACAACTCTAGAACAGAAAGACCTCCTGGATCTCCCGAACTCCAGAACAGCAATTGTGGGGACATGAATTGAGGCAAACCGCGGTCTTGCCGGCCAGGTCGTCCGTGCAGACCCCGTCATCCCGGCCAGATCTCGTCCCGACGTCATTCATTCACAAGCTCTCTCGCTCGCGAAGAATCAGCAGCATGTTCACGAGCTCAACGTGACCTGACCTGCAGTGCCAGAATGGTGAATCGACTCTCTGCGCAATGAAGCCGTCCCCGCCTCTGTGGCATGGCACGAGCCCTTGCCAGAAGACTGAGTGAACCTGCAGGTACAGCAAGCATTTTGCATACGTGCCATCCCTGCCATATTCCCGATCGGGCCTCCACTGGCCAGTGAAGGTTGGGCTTGCCAACGCAGAAGCTGCAATGCCAAGTCGGCTCGACCTTACGGAGCATGGAACGGACATGGGAAGTTCATTCTGGCTGTTCGCTCGGCACCTCCTTCCACGCATGCATCCAAGGGATGTCCAAAGTCCGATCGCCTGACAGTTCAGTCGCATCTTTACAATCTAGCTTAGCTCTTCCAGAATCGCGTTGTTTGACGCCAAGTTTCGGATTCAGAGGAAAGCTGCCTTGCAGGAGGAGTTCCAGCAGGCCCTCTTCGGTGCCGTCCTGCAACTAGCTCGTTTGGGACAGGTACATAACATGAAGTTACATAGATAACTGCACAGCCTCCAGGATTTTTCGGAATGCTGCCTGCGCCGTTGCCATGGGCCTCAGTTTTGCTATGTTTTGCTCACAACCCCCGATAAACTCTAAGCCTAGAGTAGGGCAGCATTTCTGGGCGTGCGCGAACCCGAAACCCTGCTGCTAAGCCGCTCAAACTCAAGCAGTTCTGCAAGCTGCCACAAATGTCGATTGCGTGCGGCCCTGCTCCAAGGTGTTCTGTGCTTTGAGGCGAACACCGAACAAGGCAACGGTCTAGCCACGCCTGGCTAAAGCCTTCGTTGAGCGATGGCATGCGTGAGCGACAGCCGGCCCAGCCAGGCGCAAGAGCTCCAAGGCAAACATCTCCTGCATCATCATACAAGTTGTCGTGCATTGCATGTGCTGCTACACATAAGTTGCAGCAGTCAACAGTTGCACTGTCCGATCGCAAACAATTACCCGCCGAGTCTGAAGGGACTCAGCTTTCTGTTTGAGTTGGACTAAAAACTGTTGCAAAGCATCCGCATCGCGTCTGTGTGGGCAACGGCTTAGACGAAAGCGGCCAATGTTTGCTCCTGGCCGTGAAGGATGGCCCAATCCAGCGCCGTCCAACCGTCATCATCGCGACTGCTCGGATCACACTTCCTGCACGGTGCTTGCTCGGAGCATGCTGGTTTCAACAGAGAGAGTTGAGTCTCAGACCCATCCAACAGGATGTACAGCCTCGAAGTCAAGCCTTCAGTCTTCAGCGATGTTCTGAGTATCTCTGACGTTGACGGAGAGTACACAACGCTGGTTCAGGCTTGAGGGAATCACTGAGAGTTGCCATCTGGGTCCTTGACCGTGCAGAGCGCAAATTTGCAGAGCACCTGAACACAACAAATGCGCTGGCAAGCACATCAGTGTGAAACTTCTCGAGCACGAGAGAAAGCAGAATGCTTGCATAAGGTGCTGGTGAAAAAAAGCTGGGCACCGCGGCTCTGCTTCGCCTGTGCATGTGCAGAGGGCTAGAATAGAAGCGAACACAAAAAAATCATGTTCTGACGTGGTGCTGCGTCGTCTGCGAATGGCAGCAACATCTCTTCAACACCGCTTTCTCCATTGTCTGATAGCAGTGCCCACTCCAATACCTGGTGCCAGGCTGGCGACAAGCCGCTCCTAGCTCGAGCCTTTTTAATACCATGGGGAATGTTGTTCACTTGGGAAAACAATGTGTCTGAATCCTGTGATCTGAGCGCTGTCCGATGTATAATGTGAAGCTCTGCAAACTGCATTTGATCGAGTCTAGTTGCGCTCATGCCTGTCTCGTCACGCCAATTGGCGTTGGCCTCGTCACTAACGTGTGCTGTCTCACATTCCGTCTGCACACTCTTGCAAACGCATCCACTCAATTTGGCCTGACTGTTGCTGAATCACCACTACTTTGCGAAGCACCTACCGAAACAATCAGGCCTTCATGTGCAATAGCAGGCCGCAACGTCGCGCGTCTCCGCTATGAACGGAAGCGAAAAGCTCAAGCCTGGCCTCCGCTCCAAACAAGACAGACTGCAGCCTTTCGAATACGCTCCACAGGCGATGAGGTACTGCTGGGTCAACAGCACAGCAACAGTAGCAGTAGCAGTATGTGTCGCAGTCGTAGTAGTCGTTGTCGTAGTAATAAAAGAAGACGAAAGATTTTGTTGCGGCAACAATATTACCGCGGCATGAAATGGCATGAACAGCAGAAACGATTGTACAAGGAGTGCCTGTAGCGGTTGCAGAGCCCGGAATTCGGCTTGTTCCACACGACCAACTAACGGCTGCCCAAACAACCGCCGTTGCATACGTTTCACAATCTCTCTCTTTTTCAATTCGTTGGTCGTAAAATCGCGTAAGACCCGGGGTCGAAGACATGAAAATTCAAGGGAGCCGGGATCACGCCCGGGAGCGGGCGAGTGAGTCTAGATTTCGGATGTGACCCTTAAACCAGAATGGCCACAGATCAAGGTTTACACGCCAACCACGTGAGACAATTGGCATTGCAACACCAACAAACTTCTGTTTACCACGCAAATTGTCCGACCTCCCCAAACAACCGCCATAATATGCTGCTCCTTCTCGCATTTTTTCAATTGGTTGGTCGAGCCTTTTGTTAATTGGTCAAGGCCGGGGTCGAAGACACAAGAACCCAAGAGAACCGGGACCACGCCCACCTGAGTTTAATGCCCAACGGCCAAACAGAGATCCATGATTGCTGTGGCGGCCGTCAAGTGATCAACAAATACTCTCCGATGAAGAACCGGAGGACTCTGGGGAACCATCCTTGCCATCTCTTGCCCTCCATGTCAGTGCCAATTGTCCCGAGCGAAAGGCCAGGCGCAAAACGTTCTTCAATGCTTTGGGTGCAATGCTTTCTTTCTGGGGTTTGAAAGGGTAAATGTTGGTCAGGCAACACCACGTTGTCTTCCTGTCACTCCCGATCGGGACGGCAAACGCGGGTTTGGCCCTCGTAAGTACGCCGGGGGTCCGTGTGTCCAGCCTCGATTGAACGTTAGGCCGAAGGTGCCTCACAGATATAGCAGCTAATATAGCAAAGGATTTCGTTGCCTCATCTGCGGTGTGACCCCCCAAATATGGTGAACACTGCCGACCTGGCCTTGTCCAGAAAATCCTTGTCGTGTTTCTCGGGCTCCTCTTCTCGTTGTAAAGCCAGGGCTGGTTGGAGCAAGCAGGGCCACTGGCTGAGGTATTGTAGAAGTACCTTGTGCTCCGGTGCCTTTAATCTTCAAAACTTTCGGGAGCCTGTCAAGGGATCTGAACCTCTCGGCTTGCCGGGTGGTTTTTGGGCCAACCTCCGAAAGGGCCGCGAACTCAGCCGTTGGATGAGGCGTCCAATACCCCAGTCATCAGCCGTCCAACTTAGGCGTCCAACCTCGGCATGGCGACCTCGAGGAGGAGCCGCGACGTCCTGATGACTTTCCAAGCCTCCATCCATGCGTGGTGCGAGTGCTCGTGCTCGGTCCAACGCCACGGTCAGCTGGTACGAAATGAACGTCTGCTTGGAGGGGAGCCATAGACGTGTCGGCCAAAGAAGCTGAAGTCGGCACAGGGTGCCCACCCCGATGCAGACACCTGTCTTAAACAGGCGAGGCATCGAGGGCTCAGCCTCATGGCCCCAACCAAAGATGGGTCTGCTGCAATCGTCCCAGGTGAGTCCGGAGTCTGATGGGCAGCAAGGACACCCGTCTCGTGCATTCCACCCTCAAACCACGAAATGGTCCAGGGCAACGTCCGCGTCGTCCGGGTATTCCGAAAGCTAGGAGTAGGCCCTGTAGTGGGCTATCAATGCGTGCCGCTGCAAGGACCTGGTGGGGGGAGCTTGCCGAGCCTAAACTACCCCAAAGCTCCAAATTCAAAACGGGTTGCCTCCGGCAACAGAAGCCCAAGGCGCGAATGCAAAGCTGAGAGCACAATGTCCAAGGTCCAGGCCCGCGGCTCCCAAACCCCGAGCGGGAAACCAACTCAACAGATTCGGAAACGACCACCAGGTCCGTAAACTCGCACACACCTGTTGCAATCACCCCTATTCAAAATTTCGGGTGTGATCCTTGAGACCAGAATGGCCACTGATCAAGGTTTACCCGCCAACCACGCGAGACAATTGTCACTACAACACCTGCAAGCTTCTGTTTGCCACATCAGCAAGCTCAAAAAAGGGCCGGCCTCCATTCACCTAAACAAAACAAAACCAGAATCAGAGCTTGGTGCGCGACAGTCGGCGATCTTGCCCAAGCAGACAGCTCCGAAGCTACCTCGGAAACTCAACTCCTGTCGGATGTGCGTGCAGCGTCATGAAGCCCTGCCTCGTCCAGGCCATATTGGAGTGCTGCATGATACAGCTGCACATGATCAGCATCACTTCCAATGCTTGCTCCCAAAGCCTGCCGACATACTCGCATGAAAGCGACGCCACTCTGACAGTTTCGCAGGCACCAGCAATGTACGTGCGCTTCGCAGTCGACCATGCAAGACGGCGTGCTCAATCGGCCGGACTCCCAACACCTCAAAAACGAACAGAACAGGGACTCTGACAAGGCGCTTAGGGACACCAAGCTGGGAACGGGATGGACTCGATGGATGGATACGCCCGTCTGTGCGACCAGCCGACGAATATGAGCCTTTCGAAGATGGAAGGTATCAGCACATGCGAAAGATGTGTTACAGGACAACCGTGCCTGATGCTCTGTTGTGTCGAGGTCAATGCTGCGGAAAAGCTCCAAGAGGGAGGAATGCTCAGACTCAGCGCTGAACATTCCAAAGTAAGATGGGCCTGAACAATCGCAGTTTTGGAGGCGAAAGCAGCAGTGAAGCTGCCAGCAAATTGCTGGGAATGTGCCGCCTTCGGGCAACAGACTTCGAACCTGAAGCTGCTTCACCGCACAGGCAGCAAAAGGAACCGACGAACTCGTGACTCAAAAGGGTTGAGAGTACGACAAGATCAAAAACCTGGCGTAGGTGCTGCTCGCAAAGTCCAGACTTGAGATCAAACCTTGGGAGAGGGATGTTCAGACGCACTAGCTTGGGCACTGGTGGCCGCACTCAGTTTGGGACACATCCCGGCTGAGCTCGGGCACTGGTGCCGGTGCCTCCAGCGAGCGGCTCACCTGACGTGTGGTACACGAAGGGATCATCTTGTCACCACCGTAGCCCTGCCTGTTCATGCACAGACTGGATTGCCGACTCCATCCTTGGTCTTGCTTGGACAAAACTCAACGTTGACTGTAAGCCTGGCAAACGGGCGGCTCCAAATATCACATACTATATATCTATGAAAATGCATTCTTTGACATGGTTGTCAACTTCGGATTCCTGATTTTAAATGCCTGCTCGTGTGCCATGTCTGTGTGTGTGTCGGTCGGCAATCTCAGCTCCGGGCTGATCGAGAGCCCATTGAGGCACAGACGGTCTTCCATCTTCATGGTCGGGTGGCAGGGGGGCCGGGGAGTATGGGTCATCTTGACTCTGCGGCCAAGGTGGCGAAGGTGCCCGTGTCACCGCGGGCATGGGAGGTGGAGGGCTTGGTGGCGGCAATGGGACAGGAGGCAGCATGGCCGTACAGCTGTGAAAATGTCACACAGCATTGGCGCTCCATTCTTGCGAGTCGGAGCTTCGCAGAAAGACTCCCTGTAGATGCATGTATGGACGAATAAGGTTTTCGCGTTTGCAGGCAAGACTGCCCACAGATCATGGAAGACACGGGCAGGTCACGTGGAAATTGCATAGAGTCATTAGAGTGAGGCACCCCTCATTCTCAGATGACTGGCGAATTGTGTTCCTGCAATGCGCTGTGTTGTAATGGTTTATTAACTTGCCTCTACAGTATATGACTGCTGACAACTCGAAAGCTGAGGGGCTCAGCAGCTGCGAGCCGATGAGTGGGTCGGCAGAGGGAACACTGATGGCAACTGCCCACAGGTGACGAATGCGCTGGTGCTCATCGTCGGGGTCATGAGGATCAATCAGTCCGACTACGAGAACAAGGAGCACGAGACCCAGGATGAGGCATGGGCTGCCGATCTGACGATGAAGACCGAAACCAGGAACATGATGTTTCTTTTTCATCATCAGGTGGGCAGCACATGGGCAATTCAGCCAGTTTCTTGACAAGACAGCTCCCTGAACCTACTAGTACCCAACATTCAAAGGCTCACAACTCCTCTGCATCAGGTGACGCTCCATCCTTTTGCTATTTTCTTCCGAGCCGGCAGGTCTGCTGATTCGAGGGGCAGTCTCGCCCGGATCGAAGCCAGCGTGCTCATGGCTCGAAGGTATTGCGAAGGCCATCTCGAACACTCCGTCAGTCCTGTCGCGCACTCAGCTCTTCCATGTGTTCCAACGTGCGCACACTGCTATTGACGACCTGGGCTGCAAATAGTTCTGTCCCTTACAAGCATGCAGGAGCACAGCTAACTCCAGCCAGCAGGTCCTCAACCTCTCCCGGGTTAAGCACTGGAATGCCGAACCTCGCCTCCGCTTGATGTGCCAACTTGTGGCATCGCAGGTCATGTCACGTCGTGCAATGCCGATCAACACCGGGCCTGTCACCGCATGCGCCATTTGAGTCGGAGTCCTGTGGCCACGACATGTGAAGAGGCTGTAAAGTGGCGTAGCCAGCTCCTCAATGCAATCTTGGAGCTTCTCAGAAGGACCAGTGGCTGAGGCATCCTGTCACAGGTTCCATGTTGGTCTTGGCTTAGGTGAATTGGCTTGCAGCAAACAGCTGCTCTCTCTGACTCGCTGCCCGACAAGCTGTTTCAGATACTGACACAAACGGCTGCTGCGAGTCAGTCAAAGCAGTTTGAATGTGATGTCGGCTTGTGATGACCTGTTGCCAACCGTGGAACGAAATCATGCCTTTGCCCGTCATGCGAAAAAACATACGCATGCCCGCGGCATGAGAATCTCCGGGCATCAAGCAAAGGATAACTGCTGCTTCATCCGTTGATCAAAACAACCTGTCATCGACGTCCATACACGCCTTCTCACAGGGTGGCGCGAGGTCGTGCTTGTCATCTGACGGGATTTGAACATGATCTGCTTGAGCAGGGGGCTCCTTGCATGACAGAAACGCGTGTGAATCAGAGGCAATGAACCCAAACGATTAGTCTCTGCCACCGTATTTACCTGGTCTCAAGAGCAGGTACGAAGACAAACGAACAAGCTTGCATCTAGCGCTGGCTCTGCATCCTGGCTCCTGCACTCCTTGCGTTACCTACCGCCTGACAAGCCATCCTCCATGCGGTCTCGCCAAAGCCCCCCAATTTGCCCTGCACAAACCCAGGAAAGACGATTAGCAATGGCAGCTGAGGAGATCAAAGCGTTAACGCCTCGCCTACGAGTATGACTTCAATTTTTATCTTTCCAGCAAGAAACCATCTTTGGTTCTACGCTCTGGGAACATGTTGGGCTGAAGGGGCTGAGCAAATGGCGGCCTATGAGCCGCAAGCAGCGATGTCACGGCGGCCACCCTAAACCACTTGCGCGGGCGGGGTCCTCAGCGGCGTCTTGGAGCTTCTTTGAAGGACCAAGACTCGCTGCGGCGCCCTTACGGATGCCAAGCAAGGCAAGGGCATCCATCAAATTCCATCATGCGAAACGTCTACAGTCGCGTATGCCGACGACCGCTTGTCCGAATACTGGCACATGGCTAAGGCTGTTGGGCCTCCGCAACATCGTCGACACCGGGATCTTCGTCTGGAAGCTTCTCGGATGGACCAAGCCGAGCCAATGCACCCTGACAGGCTCAAGCCCTACCCACGTTGCAGAGGCTAGACTGCTAGACCTCAATTCCTCAGTGCGATCTGCGAAGGCAACCCGGTAGCAAAAAGTACTTCAACTGAAAGGAACTGCAATAAGAATGTGGATTACAGTACAGCAACCCGCCAGCCCCCGCCCAGCCCGAACACGACAGACTGAGATCGTAAAGCTGCTTGCTGTGAGGACATCATGGACCGCAAATTGCCTTTACAAACAAGGAGGCGAAATGCGTGAGTTCGTTGGGATTCTGCGAGGCTTAAGTCCCGTTTCCATTGTTGCTACGTGCAACTATTCCTTGGGATCTACATACAAGTGCGATGCTGAGTTCATACGCTTGCGGGAGACTCAGCCACAGAAAACTACGGATAATGATGCTGATTAGCGTGGGATAGGGGTCCTGGTCATGCCCAAGGTGTAGGGCGTAGACCAAACTACTTAGCACAATTGGGACAAGATGGCGTCGACGTTCCAACTTCATTCCGATGCGAGGTTGGTGTGAGCACGAGCACAAGACAGCTAGCCGGTGAACTTGCGGAACTGCAACAGGTCAGATTGTGAGTGAGACCGTTCATATCCCGGAAGGTCGTTCCTGCCTCTTCACCGGAGCTCGTTGCGGAGGAGACCTGCAAACCACAACTCATTTACAAACAGTGAGAGAATTCAGCATGACCCTCTGCAATGGTGAGTCATGCACGCCTCCGATTGACTTATGTCACAGCTTGAAGCTTCGCGGTCTTTGTGTTGTGCACGCAGTTCGGCCAGACTTGCTGAATCCTGCGAGCTGGACATCATCTGCCGAAGCCTAGTGCTTCCACTTCTTCACAACTCTTGCCTCGAGGCCTCGGCGAGCCGAGCCAAGATGCAGCCGCGGTACCTCCGACATTGCCAGAGCATCAACTCCCTCTTCCGTGCGGGTCCCAGCCGTCCCAGCCCTTTCCGGAGCACCAACTCCGCCGTCGAGCACGGTTCCTTCAAGTCCAGACAGCACGCTTGCTTTGTCTTTCATGGAGAATTGCCAAGGCCAGGATTCCAAAGATTTCCAGCGCATGCTGAACTCCAGCTCTCAACTACTCCCGGCACGCAACCCTGGCCGATGCTGGACAGAGTCCTCGCTGGCAGCAATGTTGGGCATCGTAACGGATCTCCGCACCAGCCGCCTTCGCACCGCAGGTACCGTCGCTGACACAGCCCCTTTGAACGCTCCAACTTCCCTCTTCCCACTGCGCCTCTTACGCTGGATTGGCCGCCTCTGCCTGTGACATCTTACGATCAGTCAAACGATGAAGTTCCTCTTCAGCTCAAGACTCAAGCGCCTGCGCAATGCTTGTTCTTCCTGACAATTGGCAGAGGCCGGACGAAATTTGGACATACTAGGACCTCTCCTTCTCCTGCAGCAAGCGACGGGCTGCTCTCAAGTCCTTCGAAGAGTACGCAGATCCATGTTAGAACTTGTTGTACGTTGTCTCGATTGTCCATGCTAATGTTTCGGAGGCGACAAACCCAGATTTACTGAAGCCTTCTACCCGCAACCTCGACGAACAGCAACACCACCAAGCTCCAAGAGAGAACTCTCATCGGCGCAAGCCCCTCAACATTCTGAACAGCCTGGCCCTCGAAGTGAAACGATCCGTAGTCCAGATAGTTTTCGAGTTCTTCTTGAAAAGGGTTCTTGGCTTCCTTCGCTAAGGCCATGCTCGCAGAGGCCCTACGGCACCTCCTCCGAAAAGACGCACGAGGTTTTGTTGCAGGAGCTCCAAAGTTGCGAACGCGACTCATGTGCGCGAGTGTTCCGCGAAGTCAAAGCAAAAAAACAATCACAATGAACGAATGGAGTAGGTTGAACAAAGCCAAAGCGAATCTTCGAGAAGGTTGGATTTCTTTGTACTGCTTTCAGCGATAACATGTCCACAGTCAATAAAACAAAACTAATAATTACTCGAAGAATCGCGTCTCTTGGCGCGAGAAACATTAGATCGCGACAACAGCTCCTGCAGTCGACGGTTCGAGCCTCCGAAACTCGGAGAAGCCGAAAGAAGACCTGCGGTTTGCGGCGCATCCGCGACTGCAAGAAGATACTCAATATAATCTGAATATATTCATCCGCTTCCTGCCAAAACTTAGACGGCGAATTCGCCAGAGCCACCATGCCGCCAGGGGCGATCGCATGTCCGAAGGTTTCGATTCTACGAAACCATCGAGCAAAGCGTTGTCGCGGGCATGTACAAACTCCTGAACCCCTGCGCAGGACTTCAAGAATAGAGGACGCTTCAGGATTGCAAAAATGGACGCTAAGCTTTACACTACAGGTAAGCAAGAGCTGCCAAATGGCAAGAAAACTAAGAGGCTCTCGCCACACAAGTATTCATTGCGCTGCTGTTGCCGACCGTATCTAATCTTAAGGTCGCATGAATGCGAGGTGCAACATTTAAAGAAGCTTTTTCGGGGCGGGGTCGGGCGGGGAGTAGTTTCAATAATGTGTGGATTTCGCATGGCTAAAAAGGTACCACACTTCAAAATCTGCGTGGGCTTGTCATAGAGATTCAATGAGATTCGAAGAGATTGCTATGCAACGGAGATTCAACACGTTCCTGGCATTCTTCATATATAGTCTATACAGAATCAAAAGCCCCACAATGTGTTTTAATGATGTTCTATTCATGCGACTCTTCGGTTCTTCTGATTGCGATTCTGGTGCGGGGGGGGGGGGTCCTACTCTTGCCATCCTAAGCTTAGTCTTGCCAACTGCTATCAAAACGACGCTGATCCGTGTCCTCCAAGAACTGTTGCCAAATGCCGAAGAGCCTCAAGTCACAAGTCTCTGCAGGCATATGATATGATGCGGAGAATTGTGGTGCTCAACTTTAGGTGCAGGCTCATCGCTCGGCTTTCGGTGATCAACATCAATGTGAAGCCTTCACAGTCAAAGCGCTCAAAGCGAGCCGACTCAAGTGGCGTCAACCGGCAAAGCTCGAGAGCCGAACCACTCACACAGCTCTTCGTATTTGCTGTTCACGATGCCTGCGGAATCTGGTTAGGCCGTTGGAGAGGCAGTGAGTCACAATGCTCCATCGTGTGACTGGCTTGCAAAGCTTAGATGCCCTCTTCGTTGCAGTAGATTAGATAAAATACTGGTAGTAGCAGTAGTAGTTAGGTTCGAAGCAGAAAGAACGTCACTGTCCCATCAGATGCGCCTATTTTGCCTTGTAGCGCTTCAAGCTCGGCGACACACATGGACAAACACTCTCCAAAATGCTGGAGAGGATCCTGACGGCGGAAGCTTTCTGTGCTCGACCTCAACAGAACCACAGATGGAACACGCCAGCGATCCTCCTTGAGGGAACCGTCCTCGGACACATGATCTTCTTCGAGCCTCAGCTCAGGGTGTCTGCGGACAGCAGGGCAGCACTGCACAAAGTGTTCCCACCAAGTATCCGAAAGTATCCCAGCATCAACGTATAGATTGGAGACAGGAGCAAACTGATCCACGAGTGGGGCTGAGTAGTAAGGGCCAGCGAGACCTTGAGATTTTCCCACCATAGTTCTTTGGAGATTTCTCTTCGTGAACTGAAGGTCAAAAGCTCGTGTCAGCTTGGAAGCTGACTTATGCGCAATCCTCGACGAAGCTCTTCCCATAATCTTCATCTAATCTTCAGACACATATATAAAGGGGCTGACAACCTCTTTGTGTTGAGCAGTAAACCCTTCCGTACCCACTACCCTGTTCGGCTAGCTGCGAAGCATGAACAGTCTGAAGACTCTTTCAGATAACATGCAGCTGATTCACACCAGCCGGATGGTCTTCAGCATGTGCACCGCTTGGGCCAGCAGTGTCCCGCATTCCTGTGGTTTATGCGTTTCCCTCTCTATTGCCACGGTCATGAATGCTCGCGGCATCTCCTGGGCGGCATCCTCGATGCGTCGTCTGGCAGCATGTCCTACAGTATGTGGGCATCTCAAGCCACTTCAAGCCTCTATTATGCGAAGCTTGCCTGTAGCACCGGAGACTCATCTGAGGCGCGAGCGGATCCAGTCTGCCTCCTGTCCTTGTGAGAAGAGGCCTCACAGTGAAATAAAGCGGAGATAACAAGATGCTGGCCGCAAGTTAGCCAGCTGGTCGAAAAAGGGTCCTTATGCGATGCCTTGATGTGGTCTCAACACTATGCTATATGCCATGGTCGGACGAGAGGGGAATGCACTTTCCCGTTTCGGCCGACTCGACGTCGGCCGCAAGATGAGTGCACGAAAACCCGCGGCCGTGGTCTCCTCCTGCAATTCTGCAATAGCAATATGAATGTATTATGACCAGTTCTGTTGCCCTGGCTTTCGGTATCGCACAGTTGTCTGCAGTCGGCAATGCAAATTGTGGAGCAGCTGTTGTTCTCACGCTGCCGTGCGAAAGACTGGCCCACCGGTTTGCACGTCGTTGCGAATGACCCCTTCATCTTACTCACAGGCACAGACAGACAAGGAAACAAAGGCTCGACTTTGACACTTTGGGCAGTCCGTGCTACAGTGAGCACGTCGCGCCAACTGTGTGACTACGTAAGACGAAGATTCCGACACCTGTGCAGAAGAGCCATCGGGTGGAGGGGCTCATGTCGTGAAAGTCGAACACTTCATCGCTTTACACTTTATGCCGAAAATGTCTTGAATGTAAATATGTGTGTAATCAGGAATCGTGTATGCAGGGATCGACACAGAAAGATGAGCCACAGTGAACACCGTAGCTCTGCTGGCGAACTTTGAAGTGCAAAAGAGCATGTGCCTGTGCTCGCGCGGGTGACAAACACAAGCACTAAGTTATTGTAGCTTTGCCCCTTGCCCACACCCCTCGTGCTGAGTCGTGCTCGTTGTGCTGATGCCAGACGAGCTGATTTAAGTAGTTTTCGGCAGTTCATCTGTCATCTCGCTGCAAACGCTGTAAATCGCGATTCGGGGGAGTCCGCAAGTGGAAACATGCAAGCGCTGACTTCCCCTGCGTGCACGGAATGCAATCCACTAGCATGTTCTCAGGCTTCAGCCACAAAGCTCACCGGGGTACCTGCAAATCTTACACAACGTATGGTTTAAAAAAAAAGCATCTCAAGTCGAAGACGTGGGGCACTGCTTCTCCATCTGCAGCGTAATGAAATGCAGTAGAGTCTGGTCTGCAGCCTGACGTAGCTCAGGAAAGCAGGAAGTCATAGCAAGCTTCCAGTGACATTTCAGGCGTTCGACATGGCTCCGAATTGGCTAGAGCGCCTGCGTAGCCTTGACAGTGCGAAGCTGAAGCAAGGCTTCCATGGCAAAGCCATCTGCACGTCCGCGCCTCACTGATACAGTCGCTTCTGTAGGCGATGGCACGAACATGAGATCGCTTGCTTTTCATGGCAGCCATTGATCCCCCACGGGCCCCGAAGCACTGTCGAGTCAGTCCGTGCTGTGGCTTTGGCTGCTAAGCGGTGCCAACTACACATGCTCGGAAGATGCGACTGCTCAAAGCATTGGCGCTTCAAGGCGACAACCGGCAAGACGTCCAGTACCAGCCCCATGGGTGAAGCGCTAGGCCAACATGTGCCTGACAAACTTTCGAATCGGGCCAAACGGATTGTGAGAAAGAGGTCTCGGGATCGTCAGACAGGAGACATTTGCGTCCGACGAGGATTCCATCTCACTTCGGACTGCACAGGTGGAAGATTGCACAAGCCGCCGGCGAGGATCTTCTTTGTCGGTGGGGCATTCGGAAGCTGTTTTCAGCTCAACGAGGCCGCAGTCGTGCCCCATGGGCTCGGGCCAAACCGGTGCACGACGCTGCTTCGCTGCTTCTTGACCGTCTGGGTCGCTGGAGTCAAGCGAGCGGGAGACCGGCAGTCTTGTTTCTCGACATGGTAAAGAGATTGTAAAGAGCACAGGAAAGAAGTGGGCCGGCATGGCCTGGCTGTCAGCTTTCTGATTCTCAGATAAATGTTCAATCAGTATTGTCATCTTTACGACCGCATGGAGCATTAATCGGTCGTAAAGAGCCCCTGACCGTCGATACAGACGCAAACAGTCTGTGACAGTCTCTCAGCATCCGGCCGCGTCCCACCGTTTAGGAAGTTCCCCGCATGCAATGCCACTCCCAGCAAGTGCCTGAACAAGAAGGCGACAACATGATCCCCGACTGCAGCACAAATCACATGGGCACGTCGCAGGGGCCTCACCCGTATCGATGAGAGCAAGCATCGACATCCGGAAATAATGCCAGTCACATCAGCTGCGACATGCTCGAACTTTTCCTGGTTAAGCGCTCCACTGTCTCCACTCTTCCAAAAACCACATGGCCACTAGCATTGATTCAAAAAGTACGATGCAACCTGCCACAACAGCAGCTCCTGTCCTGGAAGGAGGTGACGAAGCCCCATACTTTCAAGCGCAGTTGAACTCGAGGAATTGCCAGCAGCGACAACATAAATTCCTGGCTCATGCGCCAGCAAAGTGACCTCTACCGGCAGCAAGCCAAGTTGCGACCGCTACTTCGGCCCGAATGTGCTTGAAAACCGGAGGCTGCAAGCGCACGCTGTTTTTGGGGGGGCTGCCCGTTGCAGTGTTGATATTCGCAACCTCAGCCTCTCTGCCTGCCACCACTTACACTACACAGAGCGCGTATTGACTGTCGAAGCTCTTGTCTGTGTGCCACAACCCAAGATACCGGAATCGCGCGTTGATCTTCGAAATCCGGGTGCTGACGCCACAACCCACAAACCAGGCATTGGCGTTGATCCTGGAATATCCCGACCGCACGGACCGCAACCCGAGATGCAGGTTCTGCGTCAGGGGAGGCCAAAGCACGAAGCGGCTGCAAACCCGAAACCTTGATGCTCTTCATGAGGGGTGCAGACATGGCTCCCCTCAAAGCCTGCCGGGGGGGAGGTCTGCCCGAACCCGCGTTGGCTCTCCACCGTTTCATGTGTGTTGGAACAGCCAGGATGAGGGCCAAGTGCATGCTAAGAACCCATGCTCCTGCTGTCATCTACCCACAAACCGGGCCGGACCAGCAATGCCCCGGCGCGCGCCGGCGTAGAACGACTTTTCAACAGCCGGGTCGGCTTAACTCGAGTGCCCAGTACTAGCACTCAAACCGCCATATCATGCTCTGCACCGAGTGTCCTTGATTTTCTCGCGAAGGCAGTTGAACAAAAAGTGCTTTGAAACACCAACCGGCTGGGCCGAGGTCCTCTGCTGTGTCCCAAACATTGTTCTCATCAATAACATTCTCCTCAAGGCCGCAGCAAAGGCCGCTTGTCTTCGGCAAACCACGCTCGAAATCTCGGCTCCTCTTGGGCGCGTCGAAGCATCTGTGTCTCTTCTGCCGATGGGCAATTCTGGAGAAGTAGCTCGACCTACGGCTCGCATTCGATCACATCGACGCAGAACCGGTATGTGCAGGAGCAGGTGCGCCTCATCTCTGCCGAGCCTGTCGGACTTTCACCGGCATCCGGCACGAACTTTGAACCTTTGCAAAGCCTTGCTGCGCCTTAGCGCATTCATGTCATTGACCAGCTTCAAGGCATTTCCCGGCCTTGGTCAGCAGAAGGCAGCCATTCGCTTGCATCAAGCGGCTACGGCTATGAGCTCCGCGCAGACGGGCAATCATGATACAAATCTGCCTCCGGCCCAGTGCTCAAGGACTCACAGGAAGCTGTCGAAGCAACTCCGTGGCAAAAGCTTATCATTCAGAGCGACCTTGATGCCACTGGGGTGATATTTCGACCGTTGCTTCATAGTGCTTAAACAGCTTCCACGACACACATCGTCGCCTGCGCCTCTGCTCGTCAAAGACCCGAATGATCCGCTTTCCCTCACCTGCAAAAGTTGCAAAAACCGGTGAATCTGCAATTGCTCGCAGCCAAGGCCAACTTGAGCAACGCCTCCGCCGGTTTTCTCCTCCAGCTTGCCCCGCGGACTTCTGGCTTCAGCAAAAAGCCGTTCCAGCTCCTGGCGGCCGCCGCACTGTTCAGGCTGCTACCCGATCGACACGGTGACACCGTCCTCCAGGTCGATGCAGTAAGACTCATCATCGATGAGATCCCATCTGAGCCGTCAAAAGCTTCAACTTGTCACTTCTCACGCGGTGTTCCGTGTCCCATGTCATCTCGACTACTGCGCTTGCAACAGTGATCAACAGTGCACATGCGTCAACTGAGCCTGGCACACTGTGGAGCTTTGGGCTCGGAGATGGATGGGATTCCAGAAAATTCGCTTCACCTGGACGGTGGGGATGACCTGTCCAGGCTTTCCGGCTGCCGGCTATGAATAGTCTCAGTATCGTTTGAAGACATCCACCAGCCAACTCTCGAGCGCAGGTAGTGTGGTGGCGGGAGCTGGGACGTGTTTGGCTTGCATCTTGGCCGGCCCAGCATGCATGGGAGATGCCCAATTCATACCGCCTCCGCTTTTCGCATTGACATCTTTTCCTCCTCGACCTGTGCCCAAGACAGAGCTAGCAGCGATGCAAAGCAATGCATTCAAGAAGCTCTAGACTCTAGACTTCAAGCCTGGAGAGATTTGAGGTCACCCTTGGCTCCTCCTTTCCCCTTCTTGCCGTCACCCTTGTGCCTAGAAAGCCGAGCCAGCCGAGCTGCGGTGCTTCGATTACATTGTATCAGTGGTTGCAAACTGAGCAAAGGACTTTGGCACTGCCGGTGGTGGCAACTTTCCTTTGCCTTTGCCTTGGTACCCGGGCCGTTGCAAACATAGCCTTGACCTTGACATGCTGATGTGGTAATACGTCTCGCACTGTGCAAAGACATGTGACTTGTGCAAACTGGATTTGAGTGGCGTACCCTTGACTGGACCTGCACAACCGTTTGCTTTTGCGTAATCGAGAGAATCGCCCATCATCCACAAAACTAAAATCCTGCTGCGACGCTTCCCGTACTTCTATTTGTGAAGATTCGTCACTATCTGAACCGCGTAGATACATGCAGACAGAGATGGAAGGTCAATCATCACAAGTGGGCCTTTGTCCTGCGACGATGAGCCGCCAAGGTCTTCGCTGTGCTCCTTTTTGATCTCAATCTTTGCCATCTCCGGCGGGCTGGAAGCAGCTGGGTCCGTCTGTGAACCTTCAGTGCAGGTCCTTGAGGAGTTTGCCTGGCTTGGCTGCTTGACTGTTTCCGCATCCTGCGAGGTTGCAAGCCTTGCAAGTCTTGCAAGCCTGCTGCCGTCATGCCCAGTTTGGTGTGCTGCTGCGGCTGAAGATGCCGAAGGATCCACAAACGCATCCTCGCCTCTCACAGGCTCGACACCCTTTCGGATCTCTGTGGTCAGGCTTGATCGCATGGAGTTGGAGCGAGAAGGCACTTCGCTGTCCGTGCACGGTTTGACTCTGAAGCCACCGGGTGGACGTGGGGAAGCGCTCCGATCACGGCCAAACCTCCTGCCAGCAACATATTTCGCACCCCGTAACACGCGACCTGCACGACCTGCCAGGGAAAGTCAGAGTCAAACATTCAGACTGCATAATACTAGGAAGACAAGTCAGTTCGCAGGTCGCGATGCAGGTCGATGCACAAAGCCCGGGCCTTTGGCGGCCTTGGGCCACGCTGAGGTCAGGTGCAGTCCATCACGTTCATCGACAACCGCGTCCCCCTCTCCCGGCACGGTCCTGCTGCTGTACACCAGGTTGCCTGTCGTCGGCCAGCTCTTGTACACGGCTTTTGCAGGAAGCCGAGCTGTCTGCGCGGAGCTCCGGGTGGTCTTGCTCTGGGATCCAGAACCTGCGGAAAAATGCAGGGGATGCGTCGCCTTGCCGCCATTAGAGTGCCTGCTCCGGTCAGGTGCGCCGCGTGTGCCGGGTGTTTTGCTGAAGCTCTCTTGCTGCTCTGACCTGGTCACTGCCATGACTCGGTCCAGCTGACCCAGGGGCATTCCTGGCATTCCGGTCTTCAACATCCCATGAACGGTGTTCGCATAGGTTCCATCCGTCTCATTCGTCGCACCTCTGTCTGCTCCAGAGACAGAGATTCTGCCGGACGTCTCACTTTCGAGAAAGCCCACGGCAAAAGCACGCTGCTGGGCCCCTGGTGAGTCCGCTGGACACGGCACCGGCAACGTGCCAGCATACCTGCCGACTCCACCGTGCTCGCCATCCGGAATCCCGATGTCGACCAGTGCTGAAGCGCCTGCACCCGTCGTGATCTTTCGTCAACTGCTACTTGCACCATGTAACCCATGATTGGGTGAGATGACAGTCAGGCAAGGCAGTTTAAGACAAGGGCAGCAAGCGGGGCTCCAAATTGACGCAACGGCACAGTGCCGAGCAATAAAGGCATGACTTCGCCGCAGCAGCGATAGCATTCATTGTGCGGATTCGGTGTCAGTTGCCTCTACCTGGCATGCTGTTGTCTGGACAGTCGACCCGTTCTCGGCCGCATTGATTTTCGCTCTCTGCCCAGAAAGATAGTCCCAAGAGTGATGCACTGAGGTGAGCATCAATGTCGCTCGGCTTGCGTTTCGCTTCAAACGGAGATTTTGGACTGGGCAAAACGACAGTGAATATACGCTGCCGCTGCTTATTTTTGGACTCGGTGGTCTGGGGCGTAGCCGGGTCGTTTTTTGACGTGCTTGAATTTACAGCTGGTTCACGCTCTCTGGCCATTGCTGTCGTGAATCTCATCTGCATCCGGCTCTTCAGTGAATCAGGGCTGTGGCAGTTGATGGACGTTGCGCACAAGACGCACCAAGCTTCCGGAACATACGCGGGGTTGGAGTATTCAGACTGCATAAACTGCGGAGGAGTCCCAGGCAGAACATGACTCTGCTCTCCGCGAGACGACTGCGACATGTCTCTCGTTGGGTTTGATTGGTGGTTCAAGCGAACCCTGGGCGGTTTGTGCATACTGCTGAGGCTCAGGTATTGAGTCACTTTACACAGGAGCTCCAGAGGCTTCAAGCCAGACACCAGCAACACTGCGATGATGCGACTGGGCTACTGCTAGACATCTTGCACCTTTGCTAAGTGAACTATCGTGAACTGACTCTCTGTGCATTTCACCATGCGCCTTCGGCGGTGTCGACCGTCGACCCTCTTTCGATTTCGTCGTGCACGAAGTTGCTTCCACAGGCCGGACCTCCTCCGGATGATCCCAGTACGCCAGAGCTCGTTGCTGCTGCCATCTGCCAATCACGGAGGCCAGGTGAAGCCTTCCGTGGCGAACCTTGGGACGTACGGCTGGCGTAGTCTGAGTCCGTGACACAGCTTACCACAACTGGATTCTATTCGATTGAGCCACACGCCTACAGCTACCTTACGGTTGAGGATCGCACCGATGTGACTCCTCCAAGAGCTCACGCATTCCGTCAAGTGCCCCTCTCCCGGCACGGTCCTGCTGCTGTACACCAGGTTGCCTGTCGTCGGCCAGCTCTTGTACACGGCTTTTGCAGGAAGCCGAGCTGTCTGCGCGGAGCTCCGGGTGGTCTTGCTCTGGGATCCAGAACCTGCGGAAAAATGCAGGGGATGCGTCGCCTTGCCGCCATTAGAGTGCCTGCTCCGGTCAGGTGCGCCGCGTGTGCCGGGTGTTTTGCTGAAGCTCTCTTGTTGCTCTGACCTGGTCACTGCCATGACTCGGTCCAGCTGACCCAGGGGCATTCCTGGCATTCCGGTCTTCAACATCCCATGAACGGTGTTCGCATAGGTTCCATCCGTCTCATTCGTCGCACCTCTGTCTGCTCCAGAGACAGAGATTCTGCCGGACGTCTCACTTTCGAGAAAGCCCACGGCAAAAGCACGCTGCTGGGCCCCTGGTGAGTCCGCTGGACACGGCACCGGCACCGTGCCAGCATACCTGCCGACTCCACCGTGCTCGCCATCCGGAATCCCGATGTCGACCAGTGCTGAAGCGCCTGCACCCGTCGTGATCTTTCGTCAACTGCTACTTGCACCATGTAACCCATGATTGGGTGAGATGACAGTCAGGCAAGGCAGTTTAAGACAAGGGCAGCAAGCGGGGCTCCAAATTGACGCAACGGCACAGTGCCGAGCAATAAAGGCATGACTTCGCCGCAGCAGCGATAGCATTCATTGTGCGGATTCGGTGTCAGTTGCCTCTACCTGGCATGCTGTTGTCTGGACAGTCGACCCGTTCTCGGCCGCATTGATTTTCGCTCTCTGCCCAGAAAGATAGTCCCAAGAGTGATGCACTGAGGTGAGCATCAATGTGGCTCGGCTTGCGTTTTGCTTCAAACGGAGATTTTGGACTGGGCAAAACGACAGTGAATATACGCTGCCGCTGCTTATTTTTGGACTCGGTGGTCTGGGGCGTAGCCGGGTCGTTTTTTGACGTGCTTGAATTTACAGCTGGTTCACGCTCTCTGGCCATTGCTGTCGTGAATCTCATCTGCATCCGGTTCTTCAGTGAATCAGGGCTGTGGCAGTTGATGGACGTTGCGCACAAGACGCACCAAGCTTCCGGAACATACGCGGGGTTGGAGTATTCAGACTGCATAAACTGCGGAGGAGTCCCAGGCAGAACATGACTCTGCTCTCCGCGAGACAACTGCGACATGTCTCTCGTTGGGTTTGATTGGTGGTTCAAGCGAACCCTGGGCGGTTTGTGCATACTGCTGAGGCTCAGGTATTGAGTCACTTTACACAGGAGCTCCAGAGGCTTCAAGCCAGACACCAGCAACACTGCGATGATGCGACTGGGCTACTGCTAGACATCTTGCACCTTTGCTAAGTGAACTATCGTGAACTGACTCTCTGTGCATTTCACCATGCGCCTTCGGCGGTGTCGACCGTCGACCCTCTTTCGATTTCGTCGTGCACGAAGTTGCTTCCACAGGCCGGACCTCCTCCGGATGATCCCAGTACGCCAGAGCTCGTTGCTGCTGCCATCTGCCAATCACGGAGGCCAGGTGAAGCCTTCCGTGGCGAACCTTGGGACGTACAGCTTGTGTAGTCTGAGTCCGTGACACAGCTTACCACAACTGGATTCTGTGGAGCCACATGCCTACGACTGCCTTACTGTTGATGACAAAAACACTACAGCACCACCGATTCCCAGCAGGCGAGTCTTCCTTTCCTCTTGCCTAGCAAGGTTCAGTTATGGCTTGTGCCTCGTATCATGTTCCTCTGCATCTGGGGCTCTCGCTGATGTTGGTGACCAAGCAAGGCGCACTTGTTGCCAGTGCATCCAGCTCGCCGGGCCTCAAGCATGACAGAAAGGAAGGCAGAGCATAGCGGCCAAGAATGGACAAGCCTGGCCTCAAGCGTGAAGAGCCTGGCATGCGGGCCCCGTCATTCCCAGGTCCCAGCTGTGCTTTGATGGCACATGTTTCTTGACCGATTCATGGACTACGGCAGGGGGACGCATCACAGGAAAGCCAGTCCTCTGAAGCTCCGGGTGACAGCTAGACTAATACGTACTGGTAGATGGGCACAAGACCAAGAAGTAAGTAGAAAGCTTCGGAGAGGCCAGGGCCGTATTTCGGAATCTGGAAGGGTGCCAGATTGCGGTGCATGACCCCCCTCAAGTCTAGATGCCTGTCGGCCCGTGGCACATGACCAAAACTCTGAACGGTGCCTGCAGCCACCGGCATGTGCAGCTCTTCTTCAGGTTGCTCCTCCAGGCACCGCATCCGACCCGCCATCTAGGCTTCTGCCCGCAGCCGAGGCTTGCACTGGAAACCATGACCGGCTGAAACTCTTCGGTGTACTTCGCGGCGATGCCTGCTCTTCGCTGCTTTGATACTAGCCAAAACATTGGTTGGACAGTCTGAGGGCCTCCCACAAAGAACCCGGAGAGCTGAAGTACGTTCTGGTTGCAGCCTTTCAGATTGACGCAAACCCTAGTTGCCCCAGTTATTGACCAAAGCATTTGCTGGGACATCTGCTGGCAGTTCCAAGTTCGCCTGAGCATGCAGCACGAACACTTCAATCAAAACATGGACGCAACATACCCTCGCCTCTGAGCTGCTGCCATGGGAATTTGTCCACAACCGCCTGCAGACTGGACAGGCTGAGGAGGGTTTCAAGCCCCAAGGATGATGTGGGCCAGGCCGTGGCGAGCCAGAGCAGACCTCTGATGTTCGCACCCCACATTGCCGAGTTGCTGCATTTACTTTGGCCAATGCGCAGGGGATGTTGTCCGACGAGCATGCTTGCCAGGGCTGAAACAGCCTTGGTGACGGCCGTTGCTGAGACGTTCTGCATCCTCTCATGAACTCCCTTCCTTGAACATGCTCCGGGCGGGTCTTTGTCATCCGGCCGACAAGCCTGAACGGCACACGTTGCATCACCGCATTGCCTCCACGGTACAGTCTAAGTGCGTGACGCAAGCTGGCCCGTGCAGTCCTGTCAACATAGAGCACCGAAGACATGAACACTGCTAGATCACTCAATATCCGAAATTTGCGTATCAGGATCAGTTGCGGCCAAGTGAAGCAGCATCCCCAAACAAAAGGACACTGCTGAAGGAGGGCACAAGGCCTGCTTGTCACCTAATCGCAGGTAAGCTGCATTTTGATGGCAGGAAACAGCAGGCACGCTGTGGACACATCCTGCGCAGCATGTGCAGAGGACAGCGAGAGAGCCGACGGCATCGCGACTGCTACCTGTCTTTCTTCCTTGTGCTGCACTGTCAGAGTCGCTGTCGCTTCCAGGCCCCGATCTCTGCACTATGCCTGGCACAGGCATCGGCACATGCGAGCAGCGATGCAGCAATTGCCGAATGGTGACGACCTCAAGCTTCATCCATGTAGCCTGCCACATATTCCCTGTTCAATGTTTGCTGTTTTTCAACTGGCTTCTGGACCTACCGTACATGGTTGCTTGCTGGATGCCATTGCCCTTCCTGTCTTGTTGCTCTGCTTCTTTCGTTTCTCAACATACCATGTCCGCAGAAGAATCCAAGAGCTGTCCCTTGAGTTGCCAGTGTCCCCGTGTTGTCTAAGTCGAAAACACAGCCCGATTGTGTCGAAAGGGGGTGGAGTGCTACCAGCTGAGAACATCAATCACACAGGAATTGAGGACATGAGGGCTGCCAGATACCGTGCAGGTCCGCCTGGAAGCAATTGTGAAGCCATCCAGCCGAGCCATGTATCATTCTCTGCCGTCTTCAAGAAGCATGTCTGCTTGTTGCACAAGGCCGTCCTGCACGAAGTGCCATTCAAGTGTTGAGCGCTGCTGGACCAACAACACAAAAGCTACATGCATGCACCATCACGCAGCGTCTTGCCACCTTACGTAAAGGATAACCAGCACTAATTACTTGAGCCGTCACCGTCGATTGAGCATAGGCTCTATCTTTAATTCTCTGGTCTGCACACACCAGGGCACAAGCCTCTTTACTCCACTGCGCTGATCTGTCCGAACATTGGTGCTACAGCTTTTACTGGTGGTTTGAGGTGAAACAGCTGATCTCGGGCCCGTCGCCCGTCGCACTTTCATTTCAAAACCCCACCTCGAGGTCATGTCGTGCATCACCAAGCGTGTAACATGTCTGTTCATTCATGTGCATGGCCGCGTGCCTGCTGTCTCTATGACCTCCACGTTGGGAATCAAAGCTATCCTCAGAAAGAGGGTACCCGGTGGTGGGTGTGCAAAAGCAAGCCTTCCAAACTGCATGCGATATTTGCACTGACTGAGGGCTCCGGGTTTGAAGCAGCTGTGTTCCAAAAAAGGGGCTTTTCTCTTGCAGATCGTTTTCGGATTGTGCTCTCGGGACACCAATTGGGGAACGGTTGGAGAGCCTCTGAGTACTGTTTGCATGATTCATACATACTTATATGCACCCTCGATGTTCGCTTCATCGCACACGCGTGCCGATGCAGATTTCTCTGCACGGTTCTCTGAGCAAAGCACCAATCGCCGGAAGAGTTTGGCAGAAGGCCCATCCCGGCCATGTGGTACCTCTTGCGTCTGCGCACAGCCAATGTTACGACTTCAGTCAGCACCTACCACTCTCACTTCGATAGCTAGTTTCCGCCCCGGCGCACAGAAGGTATGCCAGAGACACGGAACAGAGCGCCAGGTAGGCGAGCCACTGCCATCAACATATCAATGTAAGGTGCAGCTGAACTTTGTCAGGGCCTATCGCACTCTCTTGCGATGGTAAGCCTGCAAGGTCGTGTCGATCGTCTTGAAATTCTGGAAGGCCGCATTGGCTTTGGTGAACTGCCCGACAATGGAGGTCAAGCAATACCTCATGAACACACTCCGGGCCGAATGCTGGAAGCAGCCACAGCGTACTGGGACGAAGCAGAAGCCCTTCAGATCTGTTTGGGCATACATCCTGTTCTCGCTACGAAAAACACCCGCTCGCTGCACCCTGCCGGTCGATAACGCAAATCCATGCGTCGAGTGTTTAGGTTTGGGTCTCGCTCTGCACGGAAGCTGCCTTTCCAACTGCCTGAAGTACCGATTTGTTGACCCACTGGCTGCAGCAAATCTTGAATGGCACCATGCCAAAGTATCTGCATCGTCGGTCTGAACACTTTGCCTGCGTGCATCATTAATCGACGGATGCCTTCCTGCCGACATGTGCAGTTTGCAGTGGTGGGACGGTCGCGTTTCCCACATTTCTGACAGGGGCGTCTACTGACTAGTGGCAGATAGGCGGAACAATGCCCGAGCTTCTGACCCTAAAATCATCACTGTGAAGATTCCCGGAGACGACCTGGCGATATCAAGCAGAAACAATCACATCTGAAAACCCGGCGTTCAGGCATGCTAAGGCTGACCCGCTCATCCAAAGCATGAAGAGGTTCATGCCCACCTCGAAGTACGGTCCCACGAGACATGGCTTGCAAACTGCTGTTCACACGGCAAACCAAGCATCCAGCAGACTGGATGGGTGCAACCGCCACTTCCCACGCCTTCTTTTCTAGAAGCTCCTCGGTCGGTCGATCAACCAGCTCATCACCTGTGGCTTGACGATTGCAGGGCCTGATTAGCGGTCTTGGACTTGTTCTTTCCGGCAGCGTCCCCGCTGTTGTCCTTTCCAGTGCGGCACCCACACAAGGTGTTGAGGAAGCTTTCTTTAAGCGACCTGTTCGCTCAGGATCTACAGCAGCAAATGAGTGCCCCACCATAGTCAGCTTGTATCCGATTGGATCCTGGATGCCATCAACCTGGCATGTCTTGTGCTGGCTCGATGCACCCAGAGAAAGCCTGCTTCATCTGTGCCTTACCGGACCCAGCAGTGTCCAAGCCGCTGAAGTCCCACTTGCTCCACGAAACCTGTCGGAGACACTCGCAGCCATGTGCTGTCCCAGCGTTGCCGCAGAATCGCCTCCGTCATCTGTCCGACACCGTTGGCCGGGCTCTAGCTTTTGAGCCGCCGCAGAATTTGGTCAAGGTGGGACCGCACTATGTGCTACCACTTGCGACTCCACAATTACGTGATCGAGCTTGCCTTGTCGGGCATGAGGTTTGGAAGATTAGTGTGTGCTGGCGGCTCAACGTTTATTTCGCCTTCTGTAACACACATGCATTTGCGCTTATCACTAGTCAGTCGAATCATCTAATATTGTGTTCCGACTGTTCAGATACATGTATACATGTCAGGGCACAGTTGGGCAGTTGCGTAGACCTACGTATGTCAATACGGGTAGAGTAGACACACACAAAATAAATTCACATTGCATATGCATACCCAGACTTTCAAAAGATCAACGGCAATCTGAAGAAAGCCAGAACGAATCCCACGGCCACTTTGACCAACAGATGCAAAAAAAAATCTGTGCCCGTCTGGATGTTGCTATGTATATTGGGACACACGCCATGCTTGCTCAATGTCTAGCTAAACCCAGGGCTCGATTCCTCGTTCCCATGCCTGTTTCAATGTTCACCTTGTGATTTGAAGCTGCTGGCATCTTCTAAGAACTGGTCCACCATTGCTGTCGGTTGATTGTGAGTCTGAGACTCATCCTTGATGCAATCACATGTGCACTAAGCTAGGTACTATCCTTCATCTCAGAGCGCTAAAAGTGGTTTGTCTCGGGTGCCTTTGAGGCGTGCCCGCATCAACAGCTACCTGCCGTTGCACGATGCTCAACGAGATGTGTTATTTCGCGCTCGTGCATATGTTCACAGTTCCTGCTGGCAGGCAGTCGAAAATTCGTCGATTCGTGATTCGGGCACTGCAGAAATCCATGCAGGGTGTAGCAGCCGGAGATGGCATGCTCTCGATTCGACGGTTGTCTTTGCGGAGACAAAAACGGTTTCCAAAATGCATAAACATGGACGCTATTCCCCTCATTTCTGGATGCTCGTGTTACAGGTTGCGCTCTGCTCTGCGGGCTTACGTAGTCTCAGGTTGATTCTGGGAACCTCCTTGTCCAACAAGACCTCAGCAGTCTCGTCCTCTCGTTGTCGTTCTGGTAACTTTGCATACTCGGAAGTGTCACATGACTGCCACGATCCCAATGCCACTTGCCATGCAGCAGAGCAGATTCCATCGAATTACCATCTTGCTGATGCCACGACGTTGAGTCTACTTATCACTATGCCACAACTATGTGGATGCTTGCCAGATGCTAAGTACAAAGAAACGAGTTTCCAGCTTCCGGCAAATGCCCTGGCCCTGGCAAGTTGGTTGAAAGTCATTTGTGCATGGCGACTGGTCAACTCAGAGAGCTTGAAAGACGCGGAGTGCCCGGCAATTGCTCACCCGCCGACCCGCTAACGTCTCATGTTGCTGTTCATGTTGTAATTCCTGGTAGAAGCAGGGAAGCCGGCGCATACTTATTTCCTGAAATTCATTTATTCCTGCTTTCGATCGTCCTAGCATCGAAAAGAACATCTGACGTGAAGACTCAATTCGGGCAGCTGTTCCCGCTCAATATGTCGGTGTTTGTTCTTTCACATCTCGGCTGTTGGCCCAAGAAACCTGACTCCAAGTCGCCGTAACTGTGAAGGCATATTTTGACTACGGGCTCCTGGCGCAGCTAATTACACTGAAACAAGTTCTGATTCCCGCTTGCATGTTGCCGCCTCCCTGCTGTGCATTTCCGCGGTGGTAGCCACCGTCCAGTTAGAACGAGTCAAATCATACATACATACATGCGTATATACAGCTGCACATATATACAAATACACATATGTATACATATATATATATATATATATATATATGATATATGTACAGATTGTACATAGATGCACGCGTACACACACACATACACAGAGACAAACAGCCAGCCAGGCATGCAGGCAGGCAGGCGAAGAACAAGATAACTTTGCTTCATAAGCTGTATGTTGTTGTATCTATCAGCTCAGCGCTCGGCGAGGATTGGTTCGGGGAGCTGGCAGCGACAAGCAAGAGCGGAGGTCTGAGAGGCCCCAGCCTGACATCCGAGGGCAGAGCTCATCCATGCGCTGAGGTGTGCAATGCCATAGATGTCGAGGGCTTAGGGGTCCGGAAGAACGAGCAAACTGCAGCGGCTGGTGGTAAAAGCAACGGTACCACTGGCCAACGGTAGTGAGAAAGCACAGGAGGGGCCCAACAGCAGTGGAAACAACGGCTTTAGTAGCTCAAGTACCATATAGCAGTAGCGATAGCGGGGGGGTAGAGAATGCGATGGCAGTAGCAGTAGTCACAACATTCACAACAACACGACTAGTAATGGCATTCGAAGTTGGAAGAGTGTGGTACTGAGGATGCGGGTGTAAGGAGGCGGCAGTGCGTGCCTACCCTGTTCCACAGGGGGAAGGGGAAAATAGGGGTGTCCCGCCTGAAATGATGTATGTTTCATTGAGCATAGGATTCGAAACCACGGAGACTTCAGATAGTCTTAGTATCAGCGCTGCATCTCAATCCTCACAGCACTCGCTTTGGTGATTTGGTAGATAACCCGCCTTTGGGTGGAGAAATGACGACACGCATATGGTAAAACTGCTGCCGATGTCGCAGATGGAGCAAGCTAATCTTACGTGTTCTTGCTCCTCCTCTACTCGTTGCAGCACGCCATGGTTTCGATTCCCAAACACAGATGTGTTCGCATTGCCGTCTATGCCTTTATGAGAGAAGAGAAACCAGTAACACAAGCGGGGATGGGCTCACTCAACTGGTCTCTCATTTTAGTCCAGCCAGCCCCTTTTTATCGTTTGGTCTATCTGTGGGGGCATGCTTTTTGCACGACCGCATCCACCATAGTCTTAAACGATATCTAAAGCATCAGTGGTCTCACTTCAGACACTGGATGCAACCAATCACTCCCAGTCCCAACCCCAAAGGCCTCAGATGCATAGGCTGGGCTGACGAATGACATCTGTGACTTCAGATTTTGGATGCTCTGCCGTTCACGAGCCCCGTGCACTAAGAAAATCTGCACGGCTCGCGCGAGCTGTCCAGTAGGCCCCTGTCCCAAGGAGGACAGAATACAGTGGCACTTGCGCAATCCTGCCTGCCCCCGCCTCGGGTTGTGCCACAAGTCCCCGTCGCTGCGCTCCCATCACCATGAGAGCAGGGGCTACCTGGATCGTCTGCATCACTTGAATCGAAACCTACACCGCAGCTGATCCTCAGCTCAGGAGATAGCGTACACAAGAAAAGTCCCCAGGCTGGCGCCGGCCAGCCTCCGCATTGGCCAAGAGACAGACGCGAAATGACAAAAACTTTTGGCCGTCTGATTGCCGAGTGGGCAACGCAGCAACGACTCCAAGATTCCGCAGCCTCTGCAGATGCACATCTACAAGGACAACGAAATCTCACACAAAGGCCATGAATCCCTGGCTGGCGCGAAGCTGTTTTCCAACTGCTTCCGCTTCGGTGGCGTTATGTCTGCGCTTCGATCTTACAGATCGCAGTCATCGATCTTACAGATCGATGTAGATCTTCCGAACAGGAAGCAACAAAGTTCTTTCTGCTGGGAGGACCGACTGGTTCCCATCGAGGGTGGTCGCGTCCTCCCATCGCAGGCGAACGCCACTCGAAAGGTAAGTCAAATGAGCATCGCAGTCAGCCGATCGTGCAATCTGCAAATTTCGGGTATGTCGGAAAAACCCGTAGAAGAAGCAAAATGAATGTCTCCTATGATCTTCGCAGCCCTACTAGTTAGAGCGTTCAAAGGTAAGTCGAGTTTAGTCCATGTCTCAGACTCTGGTACGTGCTCGAAGCGGCTGATCCCGTCGGAGATGTTGGCTTTGGTGGGAACACGTTCGAGTCGGTGTGCAAGACTTCGTCGATTATGCCAAGTCCAATGTGCCGCAATGAGGCAATTGAGGGGCTGATGTTTGCCGACGCCTTTGAGGAGGGCGTGTCGAGAGGCCTCGTTGTCGCAGCACTGGACGTAGAACTTGTCGAGCCATGGCTCGAAGACCAGTGGAGCCAAGATGGCGACCCAAGCTTCGAGGAGGTAAATGAAAGCCTGGTCGGAGGAAAACTGTCGCACGAGTAGTGAGGGGAGACGACCTTGGAAGTAAGCGGCCGTTTGCACATCACCGTGGTGGAAGCAAACTGCAGCCCATCCGTTTTCGATGTCGGATGTGGATTTCGAGTCCCAATTCGGGATGTCGTCGTCCCCCGGCCTGTAGATGTGGGCGCCCAGGCGGAAGTACGCATCCGTGTAGATGACACTGTATTTAGGTCGGGTCATCTGTCGCGGTATCGTCATCGGGCGACAATGTTGTATGATGTCCTTGAGCGCAAGTAGTGAAGATCGAGTGGGTTTGTCGAGAGCATGTGAGTTGGAATGGGCGCGAGCATACAATGCTTTCAGAGCCGCGCGGCCCACTTTCCCGAATAGTCGTCCGGTGAGGAAATTGCACTTCCCAGCCATCTTCCTGGCTTGTTCGGGTGACAATGACGAAGTCGCAAGGTGTGTGTCGATCTGCTTACACATATTCTCAGCGCGTTTGGGACACGGAGTCAGCACCAGGTTGTCGTCGTCGGAAGAGATGATGACGCCCTGGATCCGATGTGCGGTTTGAGGTGGTTGTCTTTTGCTGGGTTTCATCGAGATTTGTAGACACCCGTTGTACTCTTCGAAGGATTCGAAGCTGCCCTTGGCCAAGTCGGAGTCTTCCATGGATCCGTAGTCGTCGACGTAGTGCATCGCTGGGGACAGAATCATCGTGCGACTGCACGCGACCAGGATGTCGCCAAATCGGTTGTACGACCATACACTGGCTGCCGAACCAAAGAGTAGGACGTTGTGGCTCCACAGCGTCGGGCCGTCCGGCGTGAGTAGCATCACATATGCTTCTCGAGGATCTCGTAGTGGGAGTTGTCGGTAAGCTCCGTCGTGGCCATGTCCCCAGACCTAGAGGGGCTTGAGTTGATCGTGTCGAATCGTCGCA